GATCTCGTGAGACTTACTATCACGAGAACAGCACTGCAAAGACTTGCCCCCATGATTCAATTACCTCCCACCAGGTCCCTCCTACAACACATAGGAATTCAAGATGAGATTTGAGTGGGGACACAGCCAAACCGTATCAGTAGGTAATGAAATAAAGGGTAGTTCCTAACTGATGTCAAAGTAACAAATGAATGTTGTGCTTTTTTATACTTTTTTTTTTTTTCGAGGCAGTGGTTAGTCTTTTAAAACGCCTTCATTAAAGTTTCTAGTACATTATACCAAATAGAAATTAAAAGACATGCAAGTAGCTGCTGGCTGGCATCTATAGTCACAGCTATTCAGGAGGCTGAGACAAGATGATTACTTTAGGCCAGGAGTTTGAGACCATCCTGGGCAACATAGTGAGACTCCATCTCCTAAAAAAAATTAGCCAAATGTGGTGGTGTGCTCCCGTAATGTCCACTCCCCACAGAGATTTTAAAATAGTAATTTTTATTGCTGCCAATGTGAGTAGGCCAAAAAAAAAAAAAGAGACATAGAGACATGGAAGATCAAATGCCAGTTAATTACTTAAAATTAATTTTGAGAATATGAAAACATCATTTTGGATTTTGATGTTTTCTGTTCCATAATGGAGCAGAAAATTAATTTTCCTTTTCCTTATATTCCTTTTTCTCCTAAGACCCAGTTGAGGGGGGAGAAAACCCACAGCATCTTAAAGATCTTTATTCTTTTATCATGTCTGTGTACTATTGTTAGTGGATATAATGCTTTATGAAATGTGATCATTTCAGTAGTTTTATAAAATATGTTTTGACTTAAAAGCATGTAGCAATAGTGATCGTTAATCCATTCATTAGAATTTTTTGTACTTCATTATACAATTGACTCTATGCGAAAATAGATACTAGGGAGATTTTAAAGAGTTATTAATACTGCTTGGAAATAATGATATGTTAGAATTCCCTTTAGGATTTTTTTTCCCTACTTGAGACCTAACCTGTCATTGTTTTTGTATAATCAAATTAAAGTAACACATGGATTAATGCACTTGTTGTTCTTCTTGACAAACTCTTTGAAGAGCGATTTTGGAAGTATTTATTAATTTGCTTTAAAATAACAGCACTCATTATGTGTTAATATAAATACTATCTTTCATGAAAATAACTATTCCAGACCCCCAAAATTGATGAGGAAAGTGGATTTGTTTTATATTTGCCAATCTCTTTAATACCTAGTTTAATGAGAAGCAGCTGGGTCTTTTCATCTCTAGTGCATTCATTCTGTTGTCTCATATAGCCTCTAGAAAATACCACTGCAGACTGGCAAGACAATAAGTGAAAAAGAAGTCTTAGGAGCTGGGCATGGTGGCTCATGCCTACAATCCTAGTGCTTTGGGAGCTGAGATGGGAGGATTGCTTGAGGCCAGGAGTTGGAGGTTACAGTGAGCTATGGTGGTGTCACTGCACTCCAGCCTGGGTGACACAGCAAGACCCTGTCTCTTAAAAAAAAAACACAAAAAAACCCTAAGTGTTACTAGGACAGTAGTTGTGTCTTTGCATTCTCTGAGTGAGAAACTTGGGATCCCAGTTCTCTCCTCTAGGCCAAGCAGAGCCCTGGGGCTTGATTTTAGAGTTGTTGGGTTTGCTTAGTATGTTGTTTCTTGGTTTGTCATTCAGAAGGACAGTGTCATTCAGAAAAATCAGTGCTCTAATTCATGTGTATGTCTGCATGCTTCTGAGTGGAGATCCGTGTCTCTCTCCCTACTCCACCTGTCCTGTTCCACCATTCGCTAGCTGGCCATCCACTTGGAGTGAGCAGTGCTTCCTGTGGGTGAGTGTACCCTGGAGTTTGCCATTGCTTTGGTCCCGACCACAGCTTTCTCAGGCCACGCAGGGCTAAGTTGCCTAGGTGGCAGTGTTTTGTATCGTGAAATGAGCCCACCATGTGACCAGTTCTGTACCCATGTGGATATCACTCCACCTGTTGTCCTTGCATCTCACAGGCAGCAGCGTGCCAACAGGACTATCTTTACCATACCCCAGGCCGTAGTCAATGGCCTACCAGTCACGATGTTCCTGGAGGGCAGCGTCCCATGGGTGGGACACCCTTTGCCATGCTGTGGCTGCTATACCCTACTTCCTACTTGCACAGCCATCCGAGTGTGGGCTCGGGAGCCCAGATCCTATACCTGGGATCTGTATATCCACACTTGCACCCACCCTCCCTGGTCTGGTAGATCCTACAGGAGTAGCACATGCCAGTCTCAAAGGTTAATCCACAGTGGTGGTGTGAATGGCTGGATGTGGGTTCAGCTTCTACATAGATAACTGGTTATTGTAGAACTGATCTACATCTGCGGCTGCTGTGACTCTGGTGATTCTAGGTAACCTAGATCAATCACATTTTCCCCCCACCCCTGCCATGGCCCTGTCACTCTTAGGTAGCCGTTATAGTGCCTGCTGAGACGACCACTGTGACCAAGAATCTTAGTAATAGGGAATCTCAATTTGGTTCTGCAGAGAGAGCCTGATAAATTAATATTCTATCTAAGGAACGCAGCAGGCGCACAAATTACCCACTCCCAACCCTGGAAGATAATGATTAAAACAACATGGAACTCTTTCAAGGCCCTGTAGTTGGAAAGAGTCCACTTTAAATCCTTTAAAGAGAATCTATTGCAGGGCAAGCCTGGTGCTGGCAGCCACGGTAATCGCACTTTCAGTGTGGTGTGCTGAATTTGTGGCCATTAAAATGCTTGTTCTTGGATCTTAGGTGCTGCCGGGGTCCATTGCAAGAAAGTCCATGCCTCTTGCCTTTTGGTACCTTATGGGCTCTTCCCTGAGTTTCCCTGGAGCTGAAGTGTGCACTTGAAGAAAATTAGTGTTCAAAGTAGTGTGGGCTGCCTGGATACTGCTGGTGGGAATCATGGAATGGGAGTGTGGTTCTATTTTGTTTGTGTCAAACTTTGAGGAAGCTGATTAAGCAGGGCAGTTGGGGCATTAGTATTGCACCGCTAGGACTCAAATTCTGGGCCGGTAGTAAGACTGATCAGAGTGAAAGCTTTTGCCAAGGATGTTTTCATTAACCAAGGATGAAGGTGAAAGTAGGAAGTTTAAAGAAGTTCAGGTCCTGTGTAGTTACGAACATAAATGTGATGTTGACCACTGCATTAATGCCCATGACCCACTAGCAGCTTCCAGGAAACCAGAGCCCTTTGGGTTGTGGTAGGGGGAAGGTCTGTGTTCAAAGCTGAATCTGAAAGGCAGCAGCAGTAGAGATGGCATAATTCTACTCAACATGAGCAACCTTACCTGCTTCCAGCACAGACAGGATTGTCCCATTGATAGTTGTTCTGTGGATGGGGGTGCGTGGCTTTTCTACTCGATGAAGAGATTTGACTGGTAGTTAATCGATAACCAGGAAGACTAGCATACTAACCAGTTAGGCGAGCATTCAGCATCCCCCAGTTCAGACAAATGACATTCAGCCATCTGAGATTGAGCAGTTAGACTCTGGATCGCCCAACTGGTTAGCACACTAGTCTCCTTGGTTATCTAGTCACCAGACGGATCTCTCCACCAGCCTAGAAAAGGCATGCACCCCCACCCACAGAAGAGTAGCCACAGGTCTGTGATGCTCTTAAATTCCTGGAACCATGCACCACACTGCTCTCAGCATGTGCTCATTTGAATCCGATGGGTGCCAGAGACCCATTAAGTCCATTAGTGATGCGGATCGGGATTGTAGTAATTCCTTGTTAAGGAAGAATTCCCCGTGAGAGAGCAGGCCGAAAGTATGCATTAAGTTTCTGCTGATTCTCCCTCAATAGGCCACTAGGGATTGGCTCTTGGCCCTGATGCATAGCTGAGAACGGTCTAAAATAAAAGTTATAGCCAGGGTTCCCTAAGTGGACCCGGGTAGGAGCTTTAGAGCGAGAGTGCGAAGGATCAGTAGCGGTTCCTGCACCGTCGTGCTGCTTCGGGGCCACTCCAGGCAGGAGGACAGGCAAATGTGCCCCTAGAGCCTCGTAATGCTGGGCATGAGGGGTGGGCTGCGGTCCAAGGACCCCTTAGCACTGGACTCCTGTCCCTTCTGCTTAAGGTGGCTTCCGGCTCATCTCTCTGTGGCCTGGTGCCTTTGTGACTTTGGGGTATCCCCTCCCCCAACCAGTCCTTGAAGTGTGTGTGTGTGTTTCTGTGTCTGTCTACTTCACACTCTTGTGGGGTGGGACGACATGAAAAGCATGTCTTCTAACTGCTGTTACTGTGGTGAGTCCTCAGATGTGTTTTGTGGAGTTTAGGCTGTTAGGACTTTAAACCATTAAATTGTTAAGACTGGAGGCCAGGCGCCGTGGCTCACGCCTGTAATCCCAGCACTTTGGGAGGCCGAGGCGGTGGATCATGAGGTCAGGAGATCGAGACCATCCTGGCTAACACGACGAAACCCCGTCTCTACTACAAAATACAAAAAATTAGCTGGGTGCGATCGTGAGCGCCTATAATCCCAGCTACTCCGAGGCAGAATGGCGTGAACCCGGGAGGTGGAGCTTGCACTGAGCTCCATTGCACTCCATTGAGATCGTGCCATTGCACTCCAGCCTGGGTGACAGAGCGAGACTCCGTCTCAAAAATAAAAAAAAGACTGGAGTTTAAAACTGTTAGGATGCCAATGGTGACCTGATTTTACATATTTCTATTATTTGTTGTGGAGAGTGCAGTTTTAAATAAAATCATCTGTTCCTGTTATTTTCAACTTTGGTTTATTTAAAAACTGTCATACAAAGGAACAACTTTTAATACATTATTTAGGAAGTTTTTTCGTTTTAGATATACACTTGAATCGCAACTTAATCACAACTTTCAGTTCTCCATGCTATTAATGTTTTGTCAAGTGATAGATTCTTGCTTTAATGTCCAATATTTTGGTTTATGCTTGTCTCTTGTTTTTTTAAAAAAGTTATAAGCAAAGGAAATTCAATTTTCCTTTTTCATTGACAGACATATGTAGAGTGTGTCGGTCGGAAGGAACACCTGAGAAACCACTTTATCATCCTTGTGTATGTACTGGCAGTATTAAGTTTATCCATCAAGAATGGTAAGTCATACTTTTAGAAAGTTGTGTAAATCGGAGCTTCAGTTTTGTCATGTATACAGTAACAAGGATCATTTCAATGTACTTTCTCTGTAATTATTTTTAAAATTTTATTGTATTGTCCCGAGCACAGGAAACTAAAAAAGCCCTTTTATTGTAAAATTTCAAAAATTTGGAAAAGAAATTATCCATTAATTCTTAATACCATGGCTGTTATTTTGGTGTATCCCCTTCCAGGTACACGTGATTACCCATCATTATTTCTACCATGGAGAGCTTATTTTGTTCTCCGAAAGTGTTATGGTTTTCTAGTTTTGCTTGGCATAATAGTAGCTTACATTTATGAATAACTTTTTGCCAAGAACTATTCTTAGTGTTTTGTACATCTCAACTCACTTAATTCTTATAAGAAAACTGTGATGAGGTAGAGTGTTATTATTATGCAGATGAGGAAACTGAAGCATAGGAAGGTTGGATAACTTGTCCTAGGCCACATAGCCAGCCAGTTAGTGGCAGAACCAGAATGCAGACATAGCTACCAGGTGCCAGTATTATCAGACCAGGATTAAAACTGATGTTGATGCTTGGAGATTCTTTCATACTCATTTTGCTTTGAGGAAATTACAGTTTTGATTAATTGAACCTTTTTTAATGGTAGAAAAATGTGTTGTTTTTATGTCTAGCTGTTGTAGTTTTTTATTTTTAGAAGGCGGTTACAAAAAGTTGAGTATTCTAAATTTGAAAATTTTGAAACTAAAAGCTCTGTGATATGTACATTTTTAATAAAAACAATGTTTTCAACAAAACTGTAGGTTTCTTTGTTGTAAACTCTGTACTTACGAATCTGTTTATAATTACAGCTTAGTTCAGTGGCTGAAACACAGTCGAAAAGAATACTGTGAATTATGCAAGCACAGATTTGCTTTTACACCAAGTAAGTTCTTTAGACCTTTTCACTGCATTTGTTTGGTTATCACTCGTGGCATAAAGGTGTTTAGATCAGTTGACAGAGGAAGGGGGGGAAAAAGTAAGTACTTTAAAACAACTATTTTCAGCTTGATTGTCTTTGATAGTAATAGGAAGTATTGATATTTTATTTAGGAAAATATTTTTTAAAACTGTATGCTCTCTTTTATCATACACATGTTTGAGATTTAATTTGTGGGTTTTTTTTTTTTTTTTTTTGGTCTTTAAACATTTTTTTACTTTTAATTATAGAAAAGTTCGAACACATGCAAAAAATCTAACAAGTCCACGTGTACCCATCACTTAGTTTCAACTCATAGCCCGTCTTGTTTTACACATGCTCTTGTTCCCTGCCTCTTTATCCTTTTATTTTTTCTCCGTTATTTAAAAAATAATTCTACCATTTATAATTTCATCTGTACATATTTCAGTATGTATCTCTAAAAGGTAAGGGTTCTTTTTCAAAAACGTAACTATAATACCGTTATCCACCTAGAAAAATTAATGATGCCTTGATTTCATCAGATACTCACTACTCTTCAAATTTGGACTATATTTTGAGTTAAAGTTGTGTAGGTTAGAATAATAGCCATAAAACTTAAAAAAAAAAAATAGAGTTTGGGGGGGTCTCACTATATTGCCTAGGTTGGTCTTGAACTCCTGGCCTCAAGCAGTTCTCCTGCCACAGCCTCCCAAAGTGTTGGGATTACAGGCTTGAGCCACATTGCCTGGCCAAATAAAGTTTTAAATTACCATTTTTTTCATGAGACTAACTTTTAAGGCCAGTATTTCATAAGCCTTTATAAAATATTTTGCAACCTTTAAGGTTTTAACTATAATTCCTGTGCCTATTAATACTTAATACGCTTCATCTTAAATAAGTAGAGGACTGTGCTGGCAGATTGTTAAGTATTGGAAGCATAATTTTTCATTCTGGGATCCCCTACATTGCCTTCCCTTACAAAGGATTTCTGTGTTTTAGTTGTGTGTGTGTGGTTTCCTTTAAAGCATCTTGAGCTTCTCAGTATAAATGCTGTAAATTAGTGTTTTACTTTGTTTTTATTTGATGAGTATAAATGATTAAAGTTATTACACTTTCACTTTTGGAGCTGTATATTCATCTAAAAAAGTCAATTCTGTTATTTTGTGGTCATTAATTTTCTGTAGTACATAAAAGCTGTACAGCTTGTCAAGATTCATAGGAAACTTAAGACTAAATAGTTAAGTATCTTCATGAAATTCAGTTGATAGGAAATACGTGGCCTTTTACTTTGAGGCCAAAAGAAGCTTTTTTTGTACATTTTAATTTTCATTGATAGTTATATTCTCTATTTCTTTTATGTTTTCCAAAAAACCTCTATTATTACTGGTTTTAATGACTTGCTCTTGTATACCAGATATCCTATTGAAGTCTATGATCTGTGGTCATGTGTCATTAAAAGTTGCTATTTGTAGCCAGGCGCTGTGGCTCATGCCTGTAATTCCAGCACTTTGAAAGGCTGAGGCAGGCAGATCACCTGAGATCAGAAGTTTGAGGCTAGCCTGGCCAACGTGGTGGAAACCCTGTCTCTACTAAAAATACGAAAATCAGCCAGGCGTGGTGGCAGGCGCCTGTAATCCCAGCTACTTGGGAGCCTGAGGCAGGAGAATCACTTGAACCCGGGAGGCGGAGTTTGCAGTGAGCCGAGATTATGCCACCACACTCCAGCCTGGGCAACAGAGTGAGACTCTGTCTCAAAAAAAAAAAAAAGTTGCTATTTGTTAATTGTTTATTTCTCAATGTTTATGGGTGTGAACCGTTTTGTGATAGTGCTCTTAAAAATTGTAGATCGTTGCTTTTAAACCCTGATATATCATAAGTTCTTGTTTTGGCCTTACTGGAGAAAGAAGTGTTTGTTTTTCCTTTATGTTCTTTCCGAGCTACCTGTGGTAGAGCTTTTTAATAATAAGCAGTGTTTTTTTTTTTATTGGAGCCATTTTAAAAGGGAATCCTAAAATGTGGCAGAACCTTTCTTTTTCTGAATGTGTTGAGCCACATTTCGCAGAGTAGTGGGAAGATCTGAATTTATCATTTGAAATTTTACGTATTATGCTAACATTGGGAAAGTGGCTAACAAATGTCAGTGGGATGTTTGCTCCCACGTGAAATGATCTGCCACAGACTGTTGTGCTTTTTGAGTGCTATTTAATGCTTATATTTGGGGGAGTGTTGATGGCGTGTTTTCAGTTTCATCTTTTGCTCCTGTTTGCTTTATTATATCTCTTATAATTTGGGAAACCAGATGATTATATTGGTTGAATGTTAAAATATGTGTAAATGGGCCTTGTATGAAGTTTATGGCTATTTGCAAGGGATGTGAACATCTGTTGAATTTTTTTTCCTGCTCAGAGGCCTTTGTTGATTTCCACGTTTCACACGTGATTTGCCTCATAAATGACTTCTTGGGTAAATGTGATATCATAACTATTTGTTTTATTTCTTTTAATAAGAAAAAAATTAAGCACAAGGCAAATATTGAAAGTTTAATTAATGTCTATTTTATATTTATGAATTAAGCTATTTTCAAATCTTCATGAAATTTTAAGTACTTTTTTTCTGCTTATAGTTTATTCTCCAGATATGCCTTCACGGCTTCCAATTCAAGACATATTTGCTGGACTGGTTACAAGTATTGGTACTGCAATACGATATTGGTTTCATTATACACTTGTGGCCTTTGCTTGGTTGGGAGTTGTTCCTCTTACAGCATGTGAGTATTCATGCCTCTTATTGGAATTATTTAAACATTGCATAACTACTTGATATTATAAAGCAATATTGCATCATATTACTATTTGATGTTTAGTTATTTGATGTCAGAATGTCACATATTAGGAAAGCCTTATTTAGAAGATGTTCATCTGAACTAAGAATGAGTTTAACAGGTCAGTTTCTTGAATGAATATGGGAAAGAACACAGCATACAGAATGGCTAACCATGAAAGTTCATGAATGCATTGAAAAAATCAAATCATAACTGGATTTGAAGTATACTAGAGCTTTCAAGGACTGCAAAAGATGGCCGGGCATGGTGGCTCATTCCTGTAATCTCAGCACTTTGGGAGGCCGAGGTAGGCAGATCACGAGGTCAGGAGTTTGAGACTAGCCTGGCCAACATGGAGGCTGAGGCAGGAGAATTGCTTGAACCCAGGAGGCGGAGGTTGCAGTGAACTGAGATCGCACCACTGCACTCCAGCTTGGGCAACAGAGCAAGACTCTGTCTCGGGGCGGGGGGGGAAAAAAGGACTGCAAGAAATGAATTCTTTTGGGATTCCGCAACCCTCCTTTAAAAAAATACTCACATGGCCGGGTGTGGTTGCTCACATCTGTAATCCCAGCACTTTGGGAGGCCGAGGTGGGAGGATCGCTTGAGGTCAGGAGTTCAAGTCCAGCGTGACCAACATGGTGAAACCCCGGCTCTACTAAAAATAAAAAAATTAGCCGGGTGTGGTAGTGTGCGCCTATAATCCCAGCTACTCGGGAGGCTAAGACAGGAGAATCACTTGAACCCGGGAGGCGGAGGTTTCAGTGAGCTGAGATCACGCTACTGCACTCCAGCTTGGGCAACAGAGTGAGATGTCACCTCAATAAAATACAAATAAAATTAAAATAAAATTAAAAAATGCTCATACATGTAATGGTCCTAAATAATTGGGAGGCTTATCTTTCAGATATAGGAGGCTCTTTGGGAGGTTGATGTGCTAATCAACCCCCCTAATCAATCCAAAGAATCCTCTTGGATTCTTTGTTGTTCTTATAGACATGGAGAGAAGTATGTAGTATATGGGTGGCAGAGTATATAGATTAGATTCATTAAACAAAATTTTAAATTAGCATAATTAATATCTTCATGTCTCCTTAAAATATGGTAAAATGTTGATTACCTATGGAAATGAAATTCTTGGAATATACACCAACTAGCAGAATATAGGTACTGTTGAAGAGTGAGTTAGCTAGAAAATTGTATGAAGGAGTTCTCCCAGGATGAAACTCAGAGGGACAAAGTAGTTATGAGAAATAAATATAGGGAAATGGAGGCTAATCTAGTTCTTTCAGTATCTGTCTAGTAAGTAATTCCACAAGGTAAAAGAGACAGTGGAGATGAGGAAACAATTGGTGTCTTTTAGATTGAAAGAGAAAGCTGACCATGGTAAAGGAAAAGTCTCATGAACCTAGACATATTCTCAAGTTTTCCAGAGCTGGGTAATGTGGCGATGGTGATAGAGGTATAGAGATTGTGTGCTTCCAGATTATCCTACAAAGTAAAGAAAATCAGAGTGGCATCAGACTTAAAATTAGCAATGTTGAATGCTCGAAGACAGTGGAAACTCAAAATTTCATGTTTTTGAACCTAAAATTCCCTTCCTGCAAATTACTCTCAGATAGAAGGACAAACTACAGATGTTTCAATAGATGTGAGAGATTGGAAAATTTACCACCTTAAACCTTTTTGAAAAAACTGAGGATATACTCTACTAAATGAGCAAGGAATCAAAGAGAGAAAGATGTGAGATTCAAAGAAGTGTTTCATATAGCTAAGTCTCGATTGTTAATCTACAATAATTAATAGTTTTTGGGTAACAGCCTGGAACTGAAATTCCAGATGATCTTAATGTGGGAGAAATTGTGACAGGAAGATAGAAATTCAAGCTTTTAAAATTGCTTATCTCATTTGTGGGGAGATTATAGATGTTCTAGATGTAGGTAGAAACATAGAGCATAACTGTGCATTAAAAATGTAGACTAGACTCACAACTACCCAGAACTAGACTCACAACTACATTGTTTCATTATTAATGACAAAAGTGCCACCACAGATCAGTGGAAAAAAGATGGTTTTTTCGGTAAATGGTATTGCAACAACCAGATGGCCATACAGAAAAAAATGAATCATATCATTACCTCAACGTAACCCAGAAATTAATTTGAGATAAAAGCCTGAATGTGAAAGTTAAAAAGAAACTTCTAAAGTAAAATATAGGAGAATAAGCATAAAAGAAAATATTAGTAAGTTGAACATAATTAAAGTTAAGAACTTATGTTCATCCTTAGACACTTTTAAGAATAAAAGGCAATTTAATTCTGGCACGCAAAAAAAGTAAATAAATAAAAAATAAAAAATTGAAAGGCAAACCAAGCCATGGAATGAGCGAAGATATTTGCAGTACACGTATCCAACAAAGGACTTGTATCTACAATATATAAATCAATAACAGAAGGTCAAACATATCTCAGTTAAGCAGTGGACAGAAGGTCTGAACAGGTATTTCTGGAAAAACAGCTAAATATACTAAGCTCTCCATATCTGTGGGTTCTGCAATGCTGACTATAGAATTTGAGCATCTGTTTATTATTGAGGAGATTCCTGGAACCCATTCCCCATGGATACCAAGGGATGACAGTAGCCAATAAACACATGAAAAAGTGTTCAGCGTCATTAGAGAAATGCACAAGGAGGGTGACTAAAAATAAAAAGAGTAGACAGTGCCAAATGTTGCTTAGGATGTAGAGCATCTAGAACACGTGTACAGTGATTGAGGAGGAGTGCATATGTTATAACCACTTTGGAAAACTGTTTGGCAGTATCTGCTGATGCTAAATATTGTATACAAATACCTTATGATCTAGCAGTTCCATTCTTGGGAATATAACTAACAGAACAAGAAGTTTCTGTTCACTAAAGGACATATATATAAGAACGACCACAGCATTTTTATTAATAGTACTTAAAAACTGAGATCAGTCAAATGCCTATTAATAGTAGAATGGATACATTGTGGTTTATTTATGCAATGGAATACTACATAGCAGTGAAAAAGAGCTGACTATTGTGACATGAAATAACATGGATGAATTTTACTTCTTTGACAGAAAACAAGCCAGGCACAAAATTGTGTGATTGCATGTGTGTGAAATTTTAAAACAGGTTAAATTTATCTATAGTGATAGAGATCTGAATAATGGTTACCTTTTGCAGGGGCTTTTGCCTCGGAAGAAGCTTGAGGGAGCCTTCTGGGGAGCTGGAAGTGTTGAACATCTTGATTTGGGTGGTGATTACCCAAGACATATATATTTTAAGAATTCACCCATCTGTACGCTTAAGATTTATGTAAAATGTACTTTAATAAAGACATAACAAAACTCAAGGGCAACAGCTAGAAGACTAGAAATAGGATGAGTAGGAAACAGCAAATAAAATTTGGAAATTTCAAACAAAGGCAGGAAAGGAAGGGAAGGCGGAGGAAGGAAGTAGGGAAATGAAATTAAATACGTCCGTAATCATCAGGGATTAGATTTCTCTGTTACGAGAGAGCTTCATAGATGTGTAGGTATAAAACTTGCACTACTACAAGAGATAAATACAAAGCAGCACAGGTTAATGCTAAAGAGATACAAAAATAGTTTTGTTAGCAAATGGCTAACAAAAAGCCAGAGCAATATTAATCAGCCAGATATCATTCAAATGCACTAAATGGGACAAAGCATTATATTTCCTATCAATAAAAGGCATAATCCACTAAGAAAATAGAATTAAAGAACTTTTATACACCAGAAAACTGGGCCTTGAAATACATAAAACAGTCACAGTCATAGTGGAAGACTTACATTCCTCTCTGAAATCAGTAGATGAAATAGGCAAAAGTAAGGACTTATAAGATTTAAGTTATTAATCACAAGCTTGATTTCTGTTCTGACTTGTTTATATACAGATACGCACAATTTAAATTACATCACACGATACATATTCTGTAACTTTTCTCTTTAGCTTAGCATCGTATTCTGGCAGTCTTTCCATGTAAGTGAGTGTTCTGCTGCCTTTTTTTTTTTTTTTTTTTTTTTTTTAACAGTGCACAGCACTCTGTAGTAAGAAGGCCTATTGCATATGAATTCATTTACCTATCTAAACATTTGGTTTGTCAGTTTTACATTGTTACAAGCATACTTGCGTGAGTATTTTATAAACACATGTAAGTAATTTTTATTACCGAAATTCTTTTCCTACCTTTCCATTTTGACTTGGTTTTGAAAACAGCCATTGAAGTCACTGAAAATCTGAACTGAAGTCTCTGATACAAGGCTATATAGGGAATGCTTAAGCTAATACACAAGTACTGGTTTGAAAGAAAGCCTCAGGTTTTTATTCTTGTGCCCCATTTTCAAATCTGTGGTCTGTTATCTCATTCTGTCTAGAATTCTGCCTTCCTAACTAAAAGACTTTCTACCTTGATAGCAGTACATTCACCCAAACTTTGTCTTTCTCTGAATGGCCAGAATTTAGAGTAATATATTCTGTATTTTAGAGAACCTCTGAATCTGTGCTTTTCAAATATTGATTGTCAGGTTGCCATTTATGGCATTGCAGTACATACTGTACTGAAAAATTCTCTTAATTTCAAAGACTTATACTTCCAAAACTGAAACATTTTATTGTCGTGAGCAGACTTAATGAATTTTGGAATTCTAGAATTTAAGAAATTCTTTATATTATAATTTTGGAGATCTTTACTTTAGATTTTGCTTTTCAAATATCTAAGCTCATTCAATTAAAAAAAAAAGTAAACCTAGAGAGAATCTAAGCACTAAACATGATTGTGTAACATTTACTCTTCATTGTCACTCTATTTGTGCTTGATCATGTTTTTAAAAATTTAATATTTTGAGACTTAGGTTTGTAAAGACTAAGTGTTTATTTCAGTGGCATTTGTGGTGTTCCACGTTACTTCTGCTTTCTTGAGCAGCTATATGAGTTCATGATGCGAGTTGTGACTGTATGCCATCATGCTCTTTTTCGGTAGGCCGCATCTACAAGTGCTTGTTTACTGGCTCTGTGAGCTCACTACTGACACTGCCATTAGATATGCTGTCGACGTGAGTATTGAACCTGTGTGATGAATGTTGCATGATGTAGATGATGCTTGCTTTTTTCCTTGCATATTTGTTTTTATTATAATTTGTAAATTCTTCTGTTTTGAGAAAAAATAATTTTTGTCTATTACACTAACAGTTTCAGCTGCAGTAGATGTAGCTGATAAATGTAAATGACATTTCTTTTAAAACATACCTGTTTCATGGGACTGTTTTGTAATGATGGGATGACTTTTCTTTCTTTCTTTTTTTTTTTTTGAGATGGAGTCTTGTTCTGTTGTCCAGGCTGGAGTGCAGTGTTGCTATCTCGGCTCACTGCAACCTCTGCCTCCTGGGTTCAAGTGATTCTTCTGCCTCAGCCTCCCTGGTAGCTAGGATTACAGGCACCCGCCACCATGCCTGGCTAATTTTTGTATTTTTAGTAGAGACAGGGTTTCACCATGTTGGCCACACTGGTCTCAAACTCCTGACCTCAGGTGATCCACTCACTTCGGGCTCCCAAAATACGTGGATTACAGGCATGAGCCACCACGCACAGCTGGGATGACTTTCTAAATAGGCTGTCATGCAGTTTGAAATATATGCTACTGTCTTATGTTCATAATAGTTTTTTGTTTTTTTTTCTTTAAATGGAGCCTCACTCTGTTACCTATGGTAGGGTGCAGTGGTGTGATCTCTGCTCACTGCAACTTCTGCCTCCTGGGTTCAAATGATTCTCCTGCTTCAGCCTCCTGAGTAGCTGGGATTACAGGCGTGTGGTCCCAAGCCAGGCTAATTTTTTTTTTTTTTTTTTTTAAGTAAAGATGGAGTTTCACCATGATAGCCAGGCTCGTCTCAAACTCCTAACCTCAAGTAATCTGCCCACCTCAGTGTCTCAAAGTGCTGAGATTACAGGCATGAGTCACTGTGCTTGACCAAGAGTTCATTTTAATACGTTTTTAACATGCACATTTGAACTCAGATTTATTTTTTAAATGTTTTCCATGATTATTAGAATATAAATGCTAAAAACTTGCCTGTAGTTACTTTACTATATCTTGACATTAAGCATTGTTGCTTGCCTTATATTGGCAGGCTTCTTTTTTCCTCTGACCTGATTGGTTTGAGGGTCACCTGAATTGCTTTCAATAGACTATTCATTGACTACAGAGGACCACTGGAAGCCTAGTGGGGCTTGTCAAACTAAATTACAAACATGGCTTGGTTTTATAGTCCTAAGCTGCCTTTTACAGTTTGAAAAATTGAGCCAGTTTTTCTGATAACAGTTGTGGCCAAACTACTTTTTTTTTGAGTAATATTTTGTACTCTATAGAATTTTTTTTTTTTCTGTGAAACTTTAAATTTCCTTGATGGCTTATCAGTTTCTATATATTCTGTAGCTCAGTAATTGAGGTCATCTCTAGGTGCACTGTATCAGTTATCTATTGCTACAAAACAAACTGTCCCAAACCTTAGTGGTTTAAAACAACTACCATTTTATTTGCTTATAATTCTGGGGTCAGCAGTTTGGGCTGGGCTCAGCTGAACTTTTCAACTATTGGGCTTGCTTAGGTCACTCAGCTGTTTTACTGAGACTTAATGATCTAAGATGGTTTATCTGAGATGCCTTGGTTCCCCTCCTTATGGCCTCTTCTGGAATGCTAGTGGAGCTTCTTTACATGGTAGTCTCAGGGCAGCATTCTAAAAGGGCAAGAGAGGAAGCTTGCAAGCCCTCCTCTGGGCTCTGGAACTTAGGCAGCATCACCTCTCTCCAGGATTCACAAAACCAGCCCAGATTAAAGGAATAAGCGAAAAGGACTAGAGTTTGTCACCAAATGTTTAAAATCTGTAACAGACAGTTAGGATTATTGCTGATAGCAAGGAAGATATAAAGGGGATATTTTGGTCCAAACCTTTCAGAATGTAATAGCCTGGAGAGTTCCTTAGTAAGGTGGTAGTTAGGATTCCTCTTTTGATTCAGGACATACTGCAGACTATATTTTCTAGGGGCCATGCCAGTTTAGTTTAAGTTTGGAGCTGCTGGGTCAAGGTCTACGAGATTGACCCTTCTCAGGTTTTCTATGGAGGAAAAAAGTGATTCCATTAAAATAATGGATTTTCCAGTGGCTAAGAGTTCAGAGGTGTTTGAGTTATCTGTGAATAATTCTGAAATCATAAACATGGACTAGGGAAGGAAAGATAAACCTCTTAAGAGAGGAAAAGGAGAAAATGGTCCTTGGTATCACAACATTTGATGCATTTTCTTGTATGATTACTAAAGGAACCATACTTCACCTTTCTGGATTTGTTGAGAAACGAATACACTTTTGGTATATTTGCAGTTAGCATCAAAACTTGATTTGCTTTCTGAATGAAAAACTTTTTTTTTTGAGATAGAGTCTCACTCTGTACCCATGCTGGAGTGCAGTGGCTCAATCTCGGCTCACTGCAACCCCCACCTCCTGGGTTCAAGCTATTCTCCTGCTTCAGCCTCCCAAGTAGCTGGAATTATAGGCGCACACCATCATGCCTGGCTAATTTTTGTATTTTTAGTACAGATGGTGTTTCACCGTGTTGGCCAGGCTGGTCTCAAACTCCTGACCTCAAGTGATCCGCCTGCCTTGGCCTCCCAAAGTGCTGGGATTACAGGCATGAGCTACCACGCCTGGCCAAGTGACAAACTTCTATAAAATTTGTAATAGACCTCTTTGTCTTACATATGGCATCCTGAACATCTCTTAACCTTCATTTCTTTATGTTGTCATTAGACTTGTCTGGAGGAGCTTCTCCTCTTTTCTGATTTGATGATTCTGTTAATTTGTGTGAGTTCAGGTGTCAGCTAATCACATTTTTAAACGTGTGTAAAATAAGGATACAGAAATTCTTAGAGTTGGACAGAGTTTTTAACCTTTGGTAAATTACATAAGTTTAATGCATGGCCTTTGTCAAGTATTAGACTGCTTTTGTCTTTTTTGCTCTCTGCCTTTCTGTTTCTAGGCCATTTTCAAAAGATAGGCTATGGATAGGTAATTTCCATATAGTTTTGATGGTGTTTGATGCCTAAATAAGATATATAATACAAGTATATAAATATGTATAGGTTCTCTTATAAATAGAATTTCACCATAATCACAAATAGTTCTGTTGGAGAAACTTGAGATTTTCATCCAAAAAATTATTATTTATTTTTCTGGCTGTTTTTTTCCTGAGACTTAGTGTAAAATAAAACATTTTACCTTTATTTTCCTAATTTTAAGTGTTCTTTGGAGTAATTATATGTACTTTTTTTTTTTTTTAATAGGGAAAATTTGTTGGCAGATTGTTTGCAGGGTTGTTTTGTGGTGACATGCACACTGTGTGCATTCATCAGCCTGGTGTGGTTGAGAGAGCAGATAGTCCATGGGGGAGCACCAATTTGGTTGGAGCACGCTGCCCCACCCTTCAATGCTGCGGGACATCACCAAAATGAGGTAACTCCCCTTCTCCAAAATTGATTTTACTTAGGTAGGTCATGAGAATTATTGTCTGTCTCTAAGACTCAAACCCTTGACTTCCATGTCCCTCATAAATGTTCTTTTGTTATTACAAAGGAGGGCAGTGGAAAGGTTTGGGCGAAGATGAAAAGAGATGTGAAAAATCAAGAAAGTGTTGTTATAACTTTGCCTCTTAATTTTCTAGCTAGAGTAGGGACAGCATTGGGGGCATACTAAAGTCCGTGTGCACAGTCTTACCCACTGAGCAGAAATTTGAAAACATTTCCTCAAGTGTTTGATAACAGAATTAAGTTGCGTATATGTATATATGTATGTGCATTTTTAAAAAAATGTATTTTCATCCCTGATGCTGTCAATAAAGACAAAGGCTGTCCCATAAGGAGGACTACAGAATGATGTTTTTAGGAGAGTCAGGTTTGTTAACCATTTTCTATAATGGTTTGTGAACTGTTAATCCGCTAAATTATACTGAACGAATATGTGCACTATGAAGTGAGGTTATGTTCCTATATACTAAAATTGATCCCACATCGGATACATTTAAAAAAGATGTCTTTGAAAGGTTTTCTTTTTAAAAAGAGTTTGGTAGAGTTTATATTTGTTTTCTAGTTTTTTGTTTGTTTTGTTTTTTTGAGATTGGGTCTTGCTCTGTCACTCAGGCTGGCGTGCAGTGGCATGATCCCACCTAACCGCAACCTTACAGCCTCCGGGCTCAAGAGATCCTCCTACCTCAGCCTCCTGAGTAGCTGGGACTACAGGCGCAAACCACCATGCCTGGCTAACTTCTTAATTTTATGTAGAGACAGGGTCTTGCTGTGCTGGCCAGGCTGGTCTTGAACTCTTGGGCTCAAGCAATCTGCCTGCCTTCGCCTCCCAAAGTGCTAGGATTACAGGCATGAGCCACTACACCTGGCCCAGTTTGTTTGTTTTAGCAAGAATAATGTGATTTGGAGACAGAGCAAAACAGACAAGTGGATCTAAATTTCTGGGCTTTTCTGTGATTTTAGGCTCCAGCAGGAGGAAATGGTGCAGAAAATGTTGCTGCTGATCAGCCTGCTAACCCACCAGCTGAGAATGCAGTGGTGGGGGAAAACCCTGATGCCCAGGATGACCAGGCAGAAGAGGAGGAGGAGGACAATGAGGAGGAAGATGACGCTGGTGTGGAAGATGCGGCAGATGCTAATAACGGAGCCCAGGGTAATGGCTGCTTGTGTGTCCTCAGTCTTCAGCACTGCAAATCTGTTCTCAACTTGCATTGAGGAAAAGGGCTGGCATTTTCAAATTTTAATGTTGTGAAGTTCTATTTCTAACTTATTTTTACTTTATTTTGGCAAACTGGCATTTATGGATGTACATAAATATGTTTTTTTCTATGAAACAGCATGTTTTATGTTTTAAAATCCTTTTTACACAGAGATTTTTTTTATAGGATAGATAGGAAGAAATTATTTTTTAAGTTGGATTAGGTACTACTTTTTTTTAAAATAAAGGACTTTGGTACAGATTTACTACATTCATTTGCTTCTCTCTTTCCATGTCCCTTGAGTCAGTGCAATTTTTAAAATTGAAAAAGAATCTTGAAGTGTATACTGCAGACAAGGTGCCATCCAAATAAATCAATATCTCATTTTCTAGCAGTGTAAACTCTAGCATATAAAATAAGATCCAAGACAGGAGGTGGGTAGATCACTTGAGGTCGTCAGGAGTTTGAGACCAGCTTGGCCAACATGGTGAAACCCCATCTCTACTAAAAATACAAAAATTAGCTTGGTGTGGTGGCGCACGCCTGTAATCCCAGCTACTTGGGAGGCTGAGATAGGAGAATCACTTGAACCCAGGAGGCAGAGGTTGCAGGGAGCTGAGATCATGTCACTGCACTCCAGCCTGGGTGACAGAGCAAGATTCCGTCTCAAAAAAAAAAAAAAAGATCCAAGACAGAGTCTGCCAGTCAGCTGTTGGTCACTCACTTCCCCTCCTCCCTCCCACCACAGTTTTTCTGTCAAGCTTTGCACTGTCTCTAGGTCTACTTGGCATGCCTGATACTTGATTGTCTCTTTGTGTCAGGCACTCTGTTAGACACTGAGCATGTAACTGTGACCAAAACATTAGACTGCTGCATTCCTGGAGTTTCTGGTTTAGTGAAAAAGTAGGAAAGACATGTCGTGTGATAAGTGTTGTGCAGGTTGCTCTGAGGATGCCGTTGGGGAGAGACCTTTTTAATTAATTTACTTTTTTTTGAGACAAGGTTTTGCCCTGTCACCCGGGCTGGAGTACAGTGGCAGGAACACAGCTCACTGCAGCCTTGACTTTTTGGGCTCAAGTGATCCTCCTACCTGAACTCCCCAAGTAGCTGGGACCACAGGTGTGTGCCACCATGCCCAGCTGATTTTGTTTTTGTTTTTGTTTTCCTTGGTAAAGATGGGTTCTCCCTGTTGTCCTGGCTGGTCTTGAACTCCTGGGCGCAAGTGATCCTCCTGCCTCAGCCTCCCAAAGTGCTAAGATTACAGGCATGAGCCATTTTGCCCAGCCGAGACCTGTCTTAAATAAGGTTTCCCAGGTAGCTCAGAGTACCTGGTATTTGAGCTGAGACCTCTGAAGGATGATGAAAAGTGGCTTGTGTAATGGTAACAGGGAACCTTTGCAGGGAGAGGTCAGAGGCTCTGAGAATACAGCTTGCTGCTACCTTTGGGTCTGGCTATTATTTCTCTCTCTCGATCTAATACAGTAGCTCCTAACTATTCTTTCTCCTTCCATTCTTGCTCCACATAATTCATATTACTCTGCTGCCTTTAAATCTTTTAGTAGTTTTCCCATTACTAAATAATGAAATCCAGACTCCACATTCCTCTTGTATGATCTGATTTCTGTCTTCTACTACCCATATCATTACTCAGAATGTCCTAGTCCCCTGGTTTCCTTTTCTCAAATCTGCCAGATTCTTTCCTGGCTTAGAGCTATCGAATTCCTCTCTTTCACATAACCCTGTTTGTTCCCTTTCTGGCATTTATCTCAATCTAGGATTACATTATTTTATATGTAGTATTTATTTATATGTATGTTTTTATTCTTATTTGTTCCCTGACAAGCAAATACTCGGTATGGAAATGTGACTTAGCTTCTCAACAACAGCTTACAAAGTACTAAGTTTTACTATTTTTAGTGCATTTTATTATTTTTTTATTATTTATTATTTTTAGTTCAAATTCCATCAGTAATCTTTAAATTGCAATTATATTTTCAGATGACATGAATTGGAATGCTTTAGAATGGGACCGAGCTGCTGAAGAGCTTACATGGGAAAGAGTAAGACCTTTTTCTGTCAAGCATCCTGGTGTTTTAATCCTAAAATATATTTTAAACTTGGTTATATTTAGATGTTATGGTTACAGTTGATGAAAAGTTACTGGAATTTTCATTCCTAGTGAAAGTTAAGTGATATACTGTTTGTGGTGAAAATATTGTGATGTTGGTGGCTTTTTTTTCTCTCTTACGAAACCTTGTTCCATTTAGGAAATGCTTTACCTGAAATTGTGGACTTTTGAAAAACAAAATAACAATTTAAATTTAAATAGTATTTTCATGCTTCAGTTGACAAAATAATACAGTTGTATTATGAAGTACTCTTAATTAGCTCTATATCTTCAGTAACGAATCCAAGATGGAATTTTTTTAGACTTTATAAATCATGTAATTTTGAGTAAAAGGAGACTCAAAATATAAAACTGTCATTCAGAAACAGAAATTTTTTTATTTTCTGAAAATGATAGGAAGTAATGGAAAGTTGTGGATGGAGGACTATGTTTAAAGATATTGAAAAGAAAAATGAGGCTTTTCATAAATTAGGATAGAAAGTTCTGTTGAATCTTAATGCTTATCGTTTTTGTTTATTTTTAGATGCTAGGACTTGATGGATCACTAGTTTTTCTGGTAAGTGAAACTAATTAATTTATTTTTGTATTTATTTTTATAATGGAGTCTCTCTCTGTCACTCAGGCTGGAGTGCAGTGGCAAGATCTCGGCTCACTGTATCCTCTGCTTCCTGGGTTCACACCATTCTCCTGCTTTAGCCTCTCGAGTAGCTGGGACTATAGGAGCCGGCCACCACGCCCAGCTAATTTTTTGTATTTTCAGTAGAGATGAAGTTTCACCGTATTAGTCAGGATGGTCTCAATCTCCTGACCTCGTGATCCACCCACCTCGGTTTCCCAGAGTGCTGGGATTACAGACGTGAGCCACCGCACCCCGCCAAAGCGAATTCTTTTTAATGACAGAATTGGAGTTGTCTTAGTGATTCAGAAACTTCACATTTATAGTATGTAGTAAAGGTCAAGATGCCTTTTGGCTTTTGATTACTTTATATGTTGAAGATTGTATGTTTAGTGTGCTGAAAATATTAAAAAAGCATAAAGGTAATAACTATTTTTAAAAAATTATTAAATATTTGATTTTTAGTAAAGAAAATAAACTTCAAAGTTAATGGTAGTTAAAAAGAACTTGGTCTTCTTTTAAAGTTCCATCTTGCAGTGTTTATTGCCTGTACTGGTGGAAGCAAAGTGGTTTTGCATATTTACACAGTTAGACACCCCAGGCTGATGTTAGGTTTTCCTGTTTGCTGAACCCCACCTATCTTTACCTAGGAACTCTGCCTTATTAGTAAAGGTTGCAACTCTAAGGTGAGAGCAATTCTTTAAAGAAGTTGTTCTTTAAAGAAGAAATGATGCTGTTTTCAGGTCCTGTAATATGAAGTTATTTGCCATTTGAGATTTTTAAATAGCTTAAGATGACTTTGGCTGCAGGTAACAGAACCCTGCTGGTTGGAATATTAGTAAAACAGGAAGTCCGGAGGAAGAATGAGCTTGAGGTTGCTTGATCCGTAAGCCCAACAATGTCCTCAGAGACCCAGATATCTCCATCTATCTCCTTTGCTGTCCTCAGTGTTGGCCTTCTCCTCAGGCTGGCTCCAGATGTTAACCAGAAGAGGATGTTGAATTTAGCAGTGTGTAGATTTTTAGGAACATATCTGGTATAATTCCACAGTTTAGTGGGAATGTGGTATTAATGAGCTTCTAGTCATGGTTTGATCACAGTCAGTATAGAAAGCATTATTTGGCCACATACTGATTTATATTTATTACCCTGCCAGTTCCTCATAAATGACGGACAGAAGTCATTAAGGTAGTGGTGTTGACTGAAGCCCATTTGAATTATTGGAAAAACTTTTGACAGGATGAATTCATTATTTTAGTAAAAAATATTTAATATGAAGACGTGTGCCAGCTATTGTGATAGGCACTGGGGAGTTCAGTGATGAATGAGACAGGGTCCCTGTTCTCAAAGATGCTCTATGTTGAGGTAGAGAGAAATGCACATGTAAAAAAGGAACGTTTTGGAGACTCAGTGACAAAAAGTGTGCACAGGACACAAGGGGCACAAAAGGGAGTTTGATTAGGACTTTCTTAGTGGAATGGAGTTTGTCAGCAGGAGATTTTCAGTGAAGATAACTTAGAGGTTGAAGCATAAAATATGTGAGGATAGGGAAAATTTAGGAGCCCTTAAGGCAGAGAGGTTGAAAAAATTGAGCCAACATGGTGAGAAGAAATGTAGTAGTCATTTACAAACGAATTACCCTTCTTGCTGGTTGGATTTGTGGAAGATTAGGGGACCTGAACAGAGAAATCCTTTTTTTAGACAAAAGATCTTTCGAAGGATCATTTAACCTGATGGTTAGGAAAGGTTGTGGGCATAAATGAATGGACTTGGGCAGTCTGGTCAGTGTCAGCATGGGGCATAGCTAAAGTGTGTGCAACATGACTGAAGGAATGGGTAGACAGCTGTCACCTTAGAGGCGACAGTATGTAACTGTGGGAGGTGACCAGATGGTCAGGTGAGACAGGACAAAGAAAATTAGCGCACCACAGGGAGTGAGGGGACCAGAGGGAGATCAAGCTAGAGTTTTCCAAAGGAGAGGTAGCCAGGCAGTAGTGGCCTTGTAGGTGTCAAGAAAGCAGAGTAGATGTTGAAAGAAACACTGCAGTTGACATTAACGTGATGTTTACAATTAATTTGGCTTTCAAATTTTTCTCCATTTGAAATTTTCGATGTTATTTGATTTAAATGAAATCTGGTATTTATGAAAATCTATGTAATTTGTGTTAAGATTATTTCTAAAAAGGAAGTATTTATAAATTAATTTGTTTTTTCTACATGTAACATTTTTGAGTTGTGTTAGGCTTAGTTGTATGAGCTAGCTAATGAAAAATGAAAGTTACATATTATGTCTAGATTGAAATCCCAAAACAATAGAGGGAAAATTTCAATCTTAGCTGTTTTTAGTATTTGGTTCTAGCTAAGTAAGTGGAATAGTCCAATTAAACATATATTAAATATGAATTGAATATGCTTTATTGATGCTTTTTTCCTTTAGGAACATGTCTTCTGGGTGGTATCTTTAAATACACTGTTCATTCTTGTTTTTGGTAAGTTGTGTTTGTGCTTTTATTTTTTTATAGTATTATAGTAGGAATTTAGTTTTGTAGGAGCTTTGTTATAGATTTATTATTTTTTAACATAAAAATAAATACTAAGCAGTTTATGAAAATAGTTTCAGATACAAATACCTGTATAGATAGGCCCCAGACAGACAGATACTTTCCTAAGCAGCAGTGACTGCAGTTACCTACTTGTCTCTCCTTCTGTTGGGCATTTCTGGTTTTTTTTTTGTTTGTTTGTTTGTTTTTGGTAGAAGCTGGTTTTAGACTGACTTGAGAATAGACAGTTTCCCACTTCTGGAATTAGTTTTATGCTGATTGTCTGTGTGCTCTCCCCTATGCTGGAAGATCTTGTTTTCATCTGTCAAAATCCTGACCATTGCCTTCTAGAGATCTTGACTTGGGAGCTGTTACCAGAGCTGGGTGTAGGCTTGTGGGAAGACAGTAAGCCTTCCCCAAATGTGAGCCCCCCTTAGAACCAGATTCCAGCACATGCAAATTCACTTCCAAGCACTTCTGTGGGGGCAGCTGTGAGGATTCTTTGACAACACATGGTGGTCCTTCCCATTGGGAGTAATTAGAGAAAGAAAGGCAAGGTTAAGGAGACACTGTTGACAGAGGTTTTTCTCCTTTCCAGAAGAGGTAAGGAAAACTAAGTTGAGTAAACCAAGGCCTTAGAATTCAGTTTCTGTATCTCTGAGGGGTGAGGAGGTAGAGTCTGATAGAATGGGGTTACTGTTAGGTGTCCTATGATTTGTGTCTGAGAGAACTCAGGCAACATATCCCTATATAGGGATAATCTATGAGAAATTCCTTCCTTAGTACATAGGATTTACCCCTTAGTTCTGCTGAAGAGGATGAGTAGAGATTTCCCAAGGCTTCTTCCACCAAATTGCAAGTTATTTGCTCTGTTGGGGACTACATTGTGACGTGTAAAGCAGATATCTTTAATAAGAAGCCATGTGGTGTAAGGGGCTTTGAATATTTGGACTGAAGATGAGACCAAAAATTGATTTCTGTGTCTTATGTGTAAAAGAGGAAGAGAAATTTACTTGTATTTTGTTAACAGTATTTCGGATACTTCCATTGATTTCTTAATTTTTAGTAGATACTCACAAAATTACAGATTTAATAGGAAGCTCATTCTTTGTTTGCCTTGCATGTGGGGGTGTCTGTATGTTATTCTGCATTTATTTTTCATTATGTGATATAATTCATATATAGACTGAAACTGTTTTGATCTTGACTGTATTTGTTTTTGAGAGAAAAAATGATCTATAGATTTAGGTCTTTACTCTTGCAGAAAAGCTTAATGCTAAATTAATGTTTGTAGAAACAGGTCACATTTAAAACATGAATTATACAAATAAGAACTCTCATTTATAGAAATCTAAGTAAATAGAAATTATAGAAATCTAAGTAAAGCTTTTTCTAATCCAACCTCCTGAGCTTATACTGCGAAAAGAATTTTCTTAGTAAACTTATGTTTTTTTATATAGTTAGGATCTTTTGGAAATGAAACAAGTTTTCTTCCATTAGGAACATACTTTTTCTTTTAATCATTGGGATTAAACACCCTCCTTTTTTTTTTCCTGCATGGGTTGCTCTGTTGGAAGTTTTCTATAGGCAATGTTTTGACTCTTGTGGTCATACGCTTTGCAGAAATATAATTTGACAAAGCTGTGGTCTTCCAGTAGAAGGTGACAATCCTGAGAAATTGTCCTTTTTCCATTAGTTCGTGTGTAATGGGATAGAAATCTATTGTTGCAACTGGTGTTTAAGGTTAATAATTATTTAATACCTCTGCAAATAGAGTTAAAACTTACCCTTCCCAGGGGCCTAGTTGAGTCGTCTCCAGACTGGGATATGAGAGCAAAATAGGCAAAATTCAGCATACAGCTTTTTTTCTTACCTTTTTAAATTTCTTCTGCTTTATATTGCACACAATATGTTAGTAAACTAATACATCTATATATATATATATAATTTATAAATAAATTTAAATATATTGGGAATACATGTTCAAAAAGATTCCTACCCATGAAATAGTGAGAAAGGGTTAGAGGCCAGATCCCTAGTAGATTCACTCTGACTTCTGTGATTGAGTTTCCCACTCCCCTGGTAATCTGTGCTGTCAATTTATTTCTACCATAAAGAAAAGATAACTGCATTTTATTATTAAGACTGAAGTAAAATTTAGCCAGAAAGACTTGAGGAAAAAGAAGACTATAAAAATTCTTACTATAAAGATTTTAAAAAGATTTTCATACTTAGCTGTAATGCCATTATCTCACCTTACAAAATTATTAGAATTTAATATTTTCCAATAATCCATCATATTCAAACTTTCTGGGTTGTCCCTTGGATACCATTTTGCAGTTGGTTTCTTTTAATGAAGATCCAAATAAGGTCCACATATTACTTTTAGTTGTTAAGTCATAAGTTATTAGTCTTTTAATCTAGAGTACTCTTCTCTTTGCTTCCCCCAACTCACCCTTTTTGGCCATTGATTTGTTGCTGGGATTAGGTTAACTGTTCTTGCAGCATGTTGTGTTTTACATCTGTCCATCTGCTTCCCAGATGTCCTCTGCCTTTATCCTTTGTCTCCCATATTTCTCTTAAACTAGAAGTCAGATCTAAGGGCCTTAATTAGATTCAGGTTCAATACATCTGGGACAAATCCATCACTGGTCACACTGTGCCTATTAATAGTGTATGTGAGGAGCTGAGATACTTATGTTGGATTATCCACTTTTATCACTGGATTCAGGTTATATCAACCTGGGCCTCTAATGTTAGGTTTTATTTTTCCCTTTACCATTAGAAGATAATCTGTTGGGAGTGATATTTTAGTGTCTTACAGTGTTCCATCAACCTTCCACTTAATGATTTTTGTTAGCTCTTAATGGTCCTTGCCATAATCACTTACTGTGTTAGGGGTGGCAAAATGGTGATTTTTAAATTGTCATTTTTTACATTTATTGGCTGACTTTTCTGTAAAGAAGAAGAAATTCTCATCAATTTGGGACTATTCAGTCAACCTGAACCTGTTTGTCCAGGACAAGTAGGACAGATGCTTATTTTTTTCCCATTAATTTTAGTTTTCAGAATAAGGAATTGGCACATTAACTATTCCAGTTGGTGTGCCAACTGCTTCCAAAACATGAAAGTGTTTTATTTGATGTTGCTTTTTCTCTTTTCATGATTATTATTTTGGGCTTTTCCTTTTTTGAGCATCATAAGCTCATGGATTTGTATATGTTCAGTGTTTTTCCATCAGTTTTGGTCATTATTCTTTTTGATACTCATATTCTCTCTTTGGCCTGTTTTCACAATGGTTTCTCTGTTGATTTGGCATGGCCTTATTAGACCTTAATAACTTGGTTGTTCTCTAGTTACAGAGAATGTCCTAGGCAGTGTATTTTTAGCCTAGTTCTGGAATCTTTCATTTCTCCAAGAAGCCCTGGTTCCTTTTAGTGGCGGATTGTAGGAGTGTACATTGTTTTGATGTTGAAGTTTTCATTGAGTTTTTTTCCCCCCTTTTAGCATTTTGCCCTTACCATATTGGTCATTTCTCCCTTGTTGGTTTGGGATTTGAAGAACACGTGAGTATAATACTTTTACAAAATTATTTTCATTCATTACTCCCAAATGTGATTATTAATCAAATAGCATTCTAAAGAGTTACATCATTTCTTAATTGGCATTATGCAAGGGAATAGTTAGGCAATACCCTCTCTCTTTTTTTTTTTTAAATAACAGTGGCTCAAGAGTTAGTGCGTTCCCACAGGCTGATTTTCAATCCATCTTAAGAACTTGTATGTTCACTTCTTTCCCTTTCTGCAGGTGCCCCCTGCTGAATTTAGAAAAGTAACAAGATATCAATCAATTAAAAAAGGATAGACTATTTTGGAATAATGGGTTGTAGTGTTTTCTAGAGTACTTTAGTTTTGACATTTTATCAGTATTCTCCAGAGTTAAATAAATTTTGGAAGGATTATTATTTCTCTGTTGGGTCCCTAGAAGAATTTAGTCTTTTAAGGAAGAGCTGACTATCTGGGATCATATGCTCAGTTTGTATATATAAGATCTGAGAGATCACATTCTGAAGTGTTCTAATATTTAATACACATCTGATTCTCACTAGTTGAATGCAAGAACTTGAAAGGTTCAGATAAGTGTTTTGAAAATTTTTGACTTTCCAAACTATTGCCACTTGCTATCTGAAACTCAGAAATCAAAAAATACTGATAGGCATTGTTTGTTACTTTCAAAATTCTTTCTGTAAGTTGAGAATGGTACAGATTTGCAGAGCAAGGGAAACTTGAACAGTTACTTCTAGTGGTAAGAAATGAGGTGGCTAGGATATTACCCGGCTGGTGGGTGACTTGGGCAGTGTGTTCTGCTTTCAGTGGTTAGCTTTTAGCAGATCTGCTTTACAGTGAGAGTAGAGGGCAGGCTGTTGTATTACAGGGCTCTTGTTTTTGTAAAATAGTTATTTTGTCTACTCTACTGTTATTTTGTCTCCTTGGGTAAAGTGTTATTTAATTTTTCTTCATTTTTTAGTAATTTGTAACAGTCAGTGAGAGAATTTGGTTTTCAGAGATGTCATCCAAAGGAGATTTTACAGTTGTTTTCTAGTTATAAATTGTCTCGACAATTCTCTTCAGTCATTTTGATTGTTTAATATGGGAAAACTGGGGTGTAGGATATGTCGTAAAATTAAATTTTATTTACTTTTTTCTTATTTCCAGGTCCAAGCATCTCATTTTGAAGGCCTAATCACAACCATAGTTGGGTATATACTTTTAGCAATAACATTGATAATTTGTCATGTATCCTTTAATGAACCAACTTGGGTGTTCACTAATGTTACTCATACCAAAGAACTCTTCATTAATGGTAAAACTTGTCTCTCCTTGTCCTCTTAGTAAAAGTTGTTGGTATTTGCAGTAAGGGTCAGTGGACAAAATGTGAAATAAATTAATTCTGTCGAAAAATACTAAATGTTGGCTAAGGAGTTACCTGTTTCATTGTACCTTTAAATACTCAGTTTTTCCTTGACCTGATGCTGTAGGGCTTGGCAACTCTTGTGAAATTTCATAGATCTCGTCGCTTACTAGGAGTCTGCTATATTGTTGTTAAGGTAATTCCTGTTATAACTTAAAATTGGAAATGATTTCTCCTACATTTGGGTGATACTGATGACCTTTATTTTCACTTAAGGTCTCTTTGTTAGTGGTGGTAGAAATTGGAGTATTCCCTCTCATTTGTGGTTGGTGGCTGGATATCTGTTCCTTGGTAAGTTGAGTATTAATTATTGTATAATAGCATAATTTCAAGGCTTCAAAAAAGGAAGTTTTCAGCATGGGTTCTTTTTAAAGGAAAGTAAATATTTGATAATTTCCTTATTCTTTTGGCAAGTGTATCTGTATAGAGTCTTAATGTTAATTTTTCTTGAGTACCTGAGTTTTTGAGGCTTTGTGCAAATTTTTTATGTCAGGATATTTTGGATGGAATCTTTCTATTAACTAGTGGAGAATTTTATTGCCCATTTTGCTCTCTTAAATTTTTATAGATAATGCCAAGACATTATATACATAGAGTGATTTGATAAGGAAACGGTCTTTGTAGTAATAAATTTAACCCTAATCATTTGATTTAACTAAGATGCTCAGTCTTGATTATAATCTTTAATTGCTGTTAGTAATAATCAGTTTTTGATTTTTTCAAAAATGTTTTATGTATGGAAAAGCTGTCTTTGGTTCTGAGATAACATTTACCCTCCCATACCTTACTTTTAAAACTTCTCAAGAATGCAGACCTATAACCAAGAAAAGAAGGTTTTATATTCATCAAAAATAGTTCTTTAATAGAATCAATATTAATAAAGCTTTTACCAATTGGTTTATCATTCTTTATATTTGAAGCAGTAGCCAATCTTGTTTGTAGTTCTGTGTCACCGTGGAATGACATTAAGTGAACTGCAGTTGTAGAAATTGTTCCTTGCACGTGTATTGATTATTTATTTCCTAGAAGATGAAAATGTTAATTTGGCAAATGTAGGCGGCACAGATCTCTCTTACCTGTCCTCTTTTGGCTCAGGAAATGTTTGATGCTACTCTGAAAGATCGAGAACTGAGCTTTCAGTCAGCTCCAGGTACTACCATGTTTCTGCATTGGCTAGTGGGAATGGTATATGTCTTCTACTTTGCCTCCTTCATTCTGTTACTGAGAGAGGTAAGTCCACAGGGAAATGCTGATGCTATACATTTGTAAAAAGGACTTTTGCTTTCACCACCAGTCATGTTTCAAAGGCTATGATGATTTCCTACCTAAATCATATTCTCTACTATTTTATTCTAAGAGGGAATAACTTATAGGGGACTTTGACTTAATTGCTTTTAACTTCTTCAGTTGTTTGTCTCCATAATTGGCAAGTTTTAATATTTCTGTCTAAGTTTGAAAGACGATTCAACTGAGGAAAAAAATAAGAGTACTCATTTTATCATACTTTGTATATACTTTAGCCATCCTCTAATACAGATTCTTGGAATTTTGTATGATGTGAGTGTATCTCAGACCTCAAGGAACTGTAATGATGGAAAATAACCAAAAGGATATGGTTTTGCAGGATCGGATATTTAAAGTCACTTTGATTTAGGCACCTTAAGTATAGAATTACAATGAGGGTCCTTTATGATTCCAATTCACTGGCCTGATGGGTTACCTTTATTTATTTATTTATTTTTTGATACTGAGTCTTGCTCTGTTGCCCATGCTGGAATGTAGTGCCATGATCTTGGAACCTCCGCCTCCTGAGTTCAAGTGATTCTCCTGCTTGAACCTCCCAAGTAGCTGGGATCATTCCTGGCTAATTTTTGTATTTTTAGTAGAGACAGGGTTTTACCATGTTGGCCAGGCTGTTCTTGAACTCCTGACCTCAAATGATCTGCCCACCTTGGCCTCCCAAAGTGCTCGAATTACGGGTGTGATCCACTGTGCCTGGTCTGATGCCTTTATTAATCCTATTTTTGGAATCTGGTTCTAAGTGATTTGAAGATGATGAAAGCAGATGAGTATTTCATTAGTGTACATGTTAAGCTCAGTCGTTCCCCAAATAGTGAATGCTCACTGTGTGCCGGACACTATCCTGTATTGTGGGGTATCAGTGAGAAACAAAGGCACAATTCCTGTTCTCCTCAATTTTATAGCCTGAAAACGAATACAGCATTGAAAATGTCAGCTTACACAGAGACTGGTGATGGAGATGTGCAGGGTGTGGAGGAGCAGGTTGACAATTCCAGTGGGAATGGAACACAAAAGCACAAAGGCTGAATGCTGCTCTTGGTGTGCTTTGTTCTTTGAAAGATTGCAGGAAGAGGAGGAGGGGTCAGGGGCCAAAGCATTCTCCTGAATCATGTAGTATAATTTCAGTAAATTCTCTTGGTAACTAAAGCTTTCATTCTTTCTTTGAAACAAATGATTGAGAACTGAAGCAAGTACAGAAATGTGTTTCTTAAAAATGTAATTGTATGTGAACTCCAGATTACTTCATTAAGTGAATAAAATGCTTTATAATGATTTTTTTCATTTTATCAGTGTGGTGGTTTTTGTTGATATAAAATTTTAGTATTTGGAACTTAGATAGAACCTTAGAAATCACACACTGTAACCCCGTTGTTTAGGAGATGGAGAATAGAAGTTTGGGCAGATTAGATGCGTTACAGAGGGTAACTCAGTGAGTTTGGACCACATAGGACTAGTACCCAGACTCCTCCTTTACCCCATCACCTACAGCCTCTTGGGTGATGATTTTCATTCACAGGGGGAAGGCATAGATAGTGAAATGAAGACACCGAGGCTGTAGGGTTTCTTAATTAAGATAACTCCGTGGAAGTGTAAGACTGAAATTCAGACCTTCTATTTAGGACATTTATAAATTACAACATAACCCTTTTATGGTAGTAATGGTTGTATTTATTTTTCATCTCAGAGGTCTAGATTTCTTGACACATTTGACCCAATGAGTGGTTTTTTTGTTTTGTTTTGTTTTGTTTCCAGTGAATGCTGATGTCAAAGGACATCATCAGACAAAGGGTACTTTTCATAAAGATTCTGGTTTAGGAACTTACTTTCCTAGGAATACCATATACATTTTCTGGGGCCCACTTTAGTTGCCAGAATAATTTTAAGTGCTTATTTTTCTGTTAATGTTTTAGCTCATATATAGAATTTGAAGACATTGGTGAATATTTATAGTATTTAAAATATATTTGCAGGTACTTCGACCTGGTGTCCTATGGTTTCTAAGGAATTTGAATGATCCAGATTTCAATCCAGTACAGGAAATGATCCATTTGCCAATATATAGGCATCTCCGAAGATTTATTTTGTCAGTGGTAAGAAGATGTTTCCATTGTTTTTTTGAATAAAGTATGCTAACCTATAGTTTTGTTTAGGTTTTTTTTTTTCCAGTTCTCAAGCGGGCTGATAAGAGTATATTGAATAATATAGTCATCTAAGCCTGTGGTATTCAATTGTAAAGTAACTGTTTTATTGGTTACTTGGTTAAAATAAATATGTAAAAAGATATTTACTAAAAGGAAGATGCTTTCTTGTTCTATCATAGTATAATTCAGGGGTCCCTAGCCCCCATGTTTTGGCTGGGTACTGGTCCATGTCCTGTTAGGAAATGGCTGCACAGCAGGAGATGGGCAGCGGGCAAGCAAGCATTACCACCTGAGCTCCATCTCCTGTCAGATCAGCCTTGGCATTAGATTCTCATGGGAGCGTGAACCCTATTGGGAACTGTGAGTAGGGGGGATCCAGGTTGTGTGCTCATTATAAGAATCTAATGCCTGATGATCTGAAGCAGAACAGTTTCATCCTGAAACCCCTTGGAAAACTGTCTTCCATGAAACTGGTCCCTGGTGCCAAAATGGTTGGGTACCACTGGTATGATTGATTGCTGAATTATGGTTGTCTGAATTATGTTTAATTTGCAATGAAACAATGGAGACTTATTACTGGCTTGTAAATTAAATTCTTAACAGAAGCATGTCAAAGTTTCCCCACCTGGAAGAAGAAATTACATAGATAAATCTAATTTCTTTCTTTCTTTGTTTCTTTTTTTTTTTTTTTTTTTTTTGAGATGGAGTTTTAGTCTGTCACCCAGGCTGGAATGCAGTAGTACGATCTCGGCTCACTGTAGCCTTCACCTCCGGTTTCAAGTGATTCTCGTGCCTCCACCTCCCAAGTAGCTGGGATTATAGGCGCCCACCACCATGCTCAGCTAATTTTTTGTAGTTTTAGTAGAGACGGGGTTTCGCTGTGTTGGTCAGGCTGGTCTTGAACTCCTGACCTAGTGATTTACCCGCCTCGGCCTACCACAGTGCTGGAATTACACCCAGCCGTAAATCTAAGTTTTTCTAAAATAAAATTCTTAAAGTAACATTATGTGCTTTGAAAGCTTTTGTAGCCATGTACATGAGGTCACGTCTTAGCTGGTTACAAGTGATTTATTAAGTTGCAGGCATTTCTGCTGCTTCATTTTAAGTTTCTATCTCATTTCTTAGGTAGCAAGCGGTGATAATCCTTTGTGGCTTCCGTTTTAGCATTTGTGTCCTAGATGGGAGGTCCTTACAGGAAGAAGGGCAGGCATCTTAGGAAAACATTTTTATACAAAACGACTCAGGGATAATGTGTAGAGTGGGAACCACTTGGGTTTTGAGTAGATACAGGCCTGGAGTGCATGTTGCTTGACTGTGTTCAGAAGTCTGCCTGTCTTGCACAGGAGTGATTGACTCTTATAGTGGTGTCATACCCTGTTTCCTTCTGCAGATTGTCTTTGGCTCCATTGTCCTCCTGATGCTTTGGCTTCCTATACGTATAATTAAGAGTGTGCTGCCTCATTTTCTTCCATACAATGTCATGCTCTACAGGTAAGTTTTAAAAATTCAGAATAGCTTTACTAATTTATCTCTGTTAGGGATTTGATATTCAGATTACATTAAACGTTAAAAACATTTCTTACAGATAACTAGAAATCATCTGACAGTTAAATATTGCCTTATTCTACCTTTATTTTTATTATTTTTAAAATTAAGCTTAATGTTTAAAAAATTTTCTGGACCTTTTCCACTTTGCATAAATTTTGCCTTATTCTAGATCAGATAAGCATTAGTAGTTGCATTTTCTAAAGGAAGATGTTTATTTTTTCTGCACATAAAGTATGAATTTACACAGCATTGAAATGTTTTACCATACCTAAGGAGAGTGTATTAGCATCATCTTTATTTTGAAAAGCACATTATGAAGAATAAAACCAGAGTTGCATATTTAATTATTAAAAATAGGGTACAAAGCTTGTAGATAGAAACTCTTTTTTGCTTTAAAATCTTACGTGGGCTAAGGCTGGGCGCGGTGGCTCAAGCCTGTAATCCCAGCACTTTGGGAGGCCAAGGCGGGTGGATCCACGGGGTCAGGAGATGGAGACCATCCTGGCTAACACGGTGAAAACCCATCTCTACTAAAAATACAAAAACAAAATTATTCAGGTGTGGGGGCGGGCGCCTGTAGTCCCAGTTATTTGGGAGGCTGAGGCGGGAGAATGGCGTGATCCCAGGAGTCGGAGCTTGCAGTGAGCCAAGATTGTGCACTCCAGCCTGGGTGACAGAGTGAGACTCCGTCTCTTAAAAAAAAAAAAAAAAAAAAAAAAAATTTAGGTTGGCTGGGCATGGTGGCCCATGCCTGTAATTGCAGCACTTTGGGAGGCCAAGGTGGGCGGATCACCTGAGATTGGGAGTTTGAGACCAGCCTGACCAACATGGAGAAACCCCGTCTCTACTAAAAATACAAGAAAATCAGCTGCGCATGGTGGCACATGCCTGTAATCTCAACTACTTGGGAGGCCGAGGCAGGAGAATCACTTGAACCCAGGAGGCAGAGGTTGCGGTGAGCCGAGATCGTGCCGTTGCACTCCCGCCTGGGCAACAAGAGTGAAACTCCATTCCAAAAAAAAGCTTAAGCCATCCGGAAACCTACCACTACCGGTAGTCTCTACCACTCATCCTATATGCTCTTTCTTTAGGGATTTGCGTTATCCCCATAGTCATTATCCCAATTGCAGGCAAATTGGATTATTTCCTCAAGTTTACTTCTAATAAGTCTTTAAAGTATTGTCAATTCTGATTTCTTAAAATCTCTTACTAATGTAACTTGATTTGCCATTTAGTAACTAATTTAGGCCATCCTAAATTGCTCTCCATTCATCTGCAACACTTCTGCCTCTAGATTCTCTAGAACTTTGATTATTTTACCCCTGTGTTTAAAAGTTGTCAGCATTTCCTCTGTAATCTGTGTGATATCTACACCATTTAGAATGAGATGCAAGGCTTGGCATAATCTCATGTTGCTTTTTCAACATCTTGTGTCAGCATTGACTGACTGGAATTTTTTTAATTGTGCTACACTGCCATTGAGGCTCCCCTGATTTACTTAGCTGTTTGTCTTTTTCTCTCTGTTTACAATAATTTTCTTGTCCATGTTTGAGTGGCAAGCATTTGATATTCTTTTTAAAATCCAGATTAAGGTTTTTAAATTTTATTTTTTATGAGAAAGAGTCTCGCTGTGTCATCCAGGCTGGAGTGCAGTGGTATGATCATGGCTTACTGCAGCCTCAACCTCCTGGGCTCAGGTGATCTTCCCACTTCCGCGTCCTGAGTAGCTGAGAGTACAGGTGCAAGCCACCACACCTGGTTAATTTTTGTATTTTTTGTGGAGACCAGGTTTCACCGTGTTGCCTGGGCTAGTCTTGAACTCCTGAGCTCAAGTCATCTGCCTGCTTCAGCCCCCCAAAGCGTTAGGATTACAGGCATGAGCCACTGTGCCTGGCCATCATTCCATTCTTTAAAATCGTCTTCATTGTTGTATTTCTTTTTATAGTACGTATTGTTTTATCCAAGATGGCTGAAATCATGTCTTATTTAGATGTTTTTCTCTTTTTTTTTTTTTAATTTTAAAAATATTTTGTGAAGACAGGGTCTGACTATGTTGCCCGGCTGGTCTTGAATTCCTGGCCTCAAGCAATCCTTCCACTTTGGTCGCCCAAAGTGCTGGGATTATAGGTGTGAGCCACTGCGCCTAGCCTCTTATTTGGATCTTAATGCTTTGCATAGGAACATGATTATTCAAAGATAAAAGCTTTATTGTACACAGAGTAAAATCTCAAATTTGTATTTTATTAGATTAGAATTGGAAAATACTTATATCCTGATTCTTTAAAGTGGCAGAAAAAATACCAGTAAGTAGTTTAAAATGCAGCATCAGTTTATGACTTTTAAAATCGTTACTCTTTTGTGATAAAACTTTATTTTTCTACACTTAGAACTTTTATAGATTTGGAGGATTTCTTACCTTTTAGTTCATGTATAGTATGCATGATTCCAGTCATAAGAGAACCAGGAAACACACACAGGTTCAGCTTTATATGTTGTTGGGATAAACCCATTGCGGTGATCAGTTATACATAGAAGGTTAGAGTTTTTGTGCTATAGCAGTATTTAGTTCATCCATTAAACAAAATTGAGAGCCCTTATATGCCGGGTACTTTTCAGTGTGCTAGGGACATAACAGTGAAAAAAACAGAATCAAGAAAACATCCTGCTCCAGTAGAGCTTACATTTTAATGGTGGAGATAGACATTTAAATAGATGAAATATACAGTGATGCCAGTGGTCGTAAGTGCTATGGGGGAAAATTCAAGTTGGGAAAGGGGATAGAGAGTGGGCAGGATAGGGTGACAATTTAGGAGGCGTGACTGGTAAAGACCTGAGGGGGTGACAGTTGAGGAAAGTCCTGAAGGAGTTGAGAGAGTGAGCCACGTGGATCCCTGAAGGCAGAATATTCTTGCAGAAAGTAGGTGCAGTGGCACCCAGGTCTGTTTGAGGACCTGCAGGAGGCAAGTTTGTCTGCAGTAGAAGGAGAAAGGCAAAGAATTGGCCCTGAAGTCAGAGGTCATGGAGAAAGAGTCTTGTAGGACATAAGCACTTTGGCTTTTACTTGAGTGAATTGAGCTCTTGGAAAGCTTTGAGCAAAGGAGTGATCTAACTTAGGTTTAAAGAGGATCATTCTGACTGCTGTGATGAGAGGAAACTGGGTTGGAGTGGCTGGGTCAGAAACAGGAAGCCAGCTGGGAGGATAATACGGTGATCCTGGTGAGAGGTGAGGGTGGCAGAGATGAAGGGGAGGTAGCAGTGGAGGCCATGAGAAATTTTTAGGTTATTGTTAAGGTACAGTCAAAAGGATTCTCTAGCTGTTTGGATGTGAGGTGTAAAAGGAAGGAGTGACCTTTTGTGTAATATGCTACTAATGTAGCAAGTGAGGAGAGAACCAAGACCTACCTATCAGTTTAGCAAAATGAAAGTCGTTGGTGACCCTTATCAGAAACAATTTGGTGGAGTTTGTGGGGAAAGCCTCACTGAGTTGGAGAGAGAATGAAAGGAGGGGTAATAAAGATAGTAAGTTTATTAGACTCTTAAGAAGTTTTGTTGTAATCCCGTTAAATAGTAGTCATATGCAAAATACAATTCACATTATCAATCCTGGCTCTTTCAGTGATGCTCCAGTGAGTGAACTGTCCCTCGAGCTGCTTCTGCTTCAGGTTGTCTTACCAGCATTACTTGAACAGGGACACACAAGGCAGTGGCTGAAGGGGCTGGTGCGAGCGTGGACTGTGACCGCCGGATACTTGCTGTGAGTATGAGCAGCTGACTTCTTGGATGTGCATGTCATTTGTGACTATTGAATAACCTTTCCGGAAAAAGTATGTAGAAAAATTAGTTTTAATAAAGGACAATTTAGTAATACTTGCAAGTGCATATGATACTTCTAAATAAAAATTATTTTTTATCATTGTCTGTCCTTTCATGGAGAATATATGCATTATTTTTGCCCTCTTATAGAAGTTTGCTGCTGGTCCAGCTTTCATGGAGTAAATGTCTTTTTTTTAAGTGCATTAAAAACAAACCAGTTTACCTTTATTTAGACGAACTAACTTGCCTTTGTTTAGTGCTCATAACCTGGTAAATGGGTTCTTCTCAGATTTGATTTCTCAATCTTTTAGTGAACATGTTGCATTGTTTTCTTTTTTCAAGCTTTATATACTCTATATTTATTTAAAAGTTGAATCTTTAAAAATTTTTCAGTTTGGCATCTTGTAGGTATCTTAAAGATGAAGTACAGATCTGGTTATATTTGCTTGAACATCTGTCCTTCTGTAACTGCTTCCTCCCCCAGTCTCAGTTTTGACTTAGCTGATTTATAGCTTGGAGGTTTTACAGATTTATAGCTTGTAGCTACATGTTGCAGTAGTCATGGGTAGAGAAGATAAGAAGTTTTTCTTTTCCTCCTGTAGATCCTTAACAATATATTGTACATTGTAAGTATGTACTTACACCTTGTGCTTGTAAGTACTTACATTTTGTACTTACAAGTGTACTTGTAAGTATCTTGTACATTGTACTTTTTTCTTTCAGTTGTTGATTTCTTCTCAGATACTGGCTGAAGAAAGCATAAAATAGGTTGAACTTATGGGGTATTCTGCAAGTTAATTAACATTAAATTTAGAAAGATTTAATTTAAAGCAAGTACGAACATTTAGACCAAAATGAGGTAGTAATGTGTACAAATTCTGTATTGTACATTTTCTGCCCTTAGTAGTATATATGAAGAAAATGAGAGTCATGTCTGCCGTTTTATTGTGACCTGAAGTGAGACTTGTTACTGATGTAATTTTTGCACAGGGATCTTCATTCTTATTTATTGGGAGACCAGGAAGAAAATGAAAACAGTGCAAATCAACAAGTCAACAATAATCAGCATGCTCGAAATAACAATGCTATTCCTGTGGTGGGGGAAGGCCTTCATGCAGCCCACCAAGCCATACTCCAGCAGGGAGGGCCAGTTGGCTTTCAGCCTTACCGCCGACCTTTAAATTTTCCACTCAGGGTAGGTACTGTACAGACTTAATCACATATAGAGGTTTTTTGTTTTTTTGTTTTTCAAATTGCTGTTGAGAATTGGTGCTGTTAGCATGCAGTCCTCTGTATAGACATGTTCCACATTTTATTACCCTCATTATCTAACGTAAATGATCAGGTAAGTTTATCAAATTTTAGAGATAAGTCACAGAGTTGGGATTCCCTCGGCTCTTGCTCCCTATTTAAGAGGAAAAGACTCTACAGTAATTAAGAAACTAATGTTATTGATACATTTCAACAATGTATCAGGAACTAGAATGGGCATTTTGATGTTCTCTCATTTAATCTCCACTCAAATACTGTAAAGTATAGGCGATAATTTCATGTTTATAGCTGAGGAAACTGAAGGCAGTATTGGTTAAGAATGTGCCTGTTCCATGTTCTTTAAACTAGCAAGTGATCAATCTTTGTGCAACTCAGAATTTTGTCAGAAATGTAAGCTGATGACTGCTATATGATTACAGTGAAGTCATCCTTCATTTATATCAAGTCTGTTATTTTAAAATGCCCTTTAATAATGATATGGACTTGTGAGTCTGATCATTTTAAAATGTGGACAGGTTATTTAACCTCTCAGCCTCACATTTCTTTTTTTGTAAAAATAGTCATTATTATACCTTTGTATATTACTGTAGGTCACGTGTTCAGTCATTCAGCAAACATGTCTTAAGTATCTATGATTGATATTTTCAGTCTCTGTGAGGATATAGAGAGCATACGTGGTCTTTGCTCAGAAAGAGCTTACAGTCTACTCAGAGATGAGAAAGGCAGTGGCATATTTGGATTCTCATGCTGGATGTCTACAGTGGGTGCTGTGACTCCTTCAGTCAAGAACCACTTGTTCTTAATATGGGCCCAAAGGAATCTTCCTAGAATAGGTGGTGCCTGAACTGTCTTAAACATTGAGAGACCTGGCAGAGAGTGAAAAAAAGGAAGTGGGAAGGACATTCCAGAAATATGTCAGGACTAGGGCACATTAGGCATGGTGCGCTTGGAATTGCAGATAAGGGAGTTGTGTTGTTTTGTTTTTGAGACAGGGTCTTGCTCTGTTGCCCAGGCTGGGGTGCAGTGTTGCGATCACGGCTCACTGTAGCCTTAGCCTCCTGGGTTCAAGTGATCCTCCTACCTACTCAACTGTCCAGTTAGCTGGGACCACAGGTACATGCCACTACACCTGGCTAATTTTTATATTTTTTATTGAAACAGGGTTTTGCTCTGTAGCCCAGGCTGTTCTCAAACTCCTAGTTAAAGCAGTCTGCCTGCCTCGGCCTCCCAAAGTGCTGTATTACAGGTGTAAGCCACTGCACCTGGCCTAATTGAATATATTTAGAGGGTGAGGTCCAGGAAAGGTGAGGAACAAGGGGAGAGATGAGGGGCCACGGGAGTGGTGAGGGATAAGGTCGGGAAGAGGTAAGGGACAAGAGGAGTGGTGGGAGGAACCAGATAATGGAGCACCTTGAGCACCCTCTGCACGAGTCCACACTCACTGAATTGTTCTTCTACTCCTTTGTCCCCTTGAGGGGTGTATCTCTTCCTGATTCTGTGGCTTATTCTAGAGGACTTTGCTGCATAACCCTGAGGAAAGCATGAAGGTCATCTTTTCCTTTATCTCTTAATAGCAGACCTCATAGTCAGCTCCCTTTTTTTTCCCCTTGGTCTTTACTCAGCTCTCTCGCCTCTCCAGAGACAAAAAAAGGCCTTCTGAGCAACAGTTACTTTCTGGCCAGATCAGAGACAGTATCAATAAATGACTTTTCAGGCAGTTAGAGCCGACAAAGCCTGGGAGTCTCGTGGGTTTTGTCATCTGTCCTTTTCAGGCTTCCCATCAGAGCTCTGCCCTCTGGTCTTGTGGAGATGAACCTCGTAAGCTAGCAGGCAAACCACAGTTGCTGCCTTTCTGCTTAGGGAAACTGGTTTCCTCCTCTCTGTGTGATCACTTTTTATCTGCACTTCTGTATGAGTCTGTTTTCACACTGCTAATAAATACCTGAGACGAGGTAATTTATAAAGGAATGAGGTTTAATTGACTCATAGCGTTCTCGTGGCTGGGGAGGCCTCACAATCATGGCGGAAGGTGAATGATGAGCAAAGTCATGTCTTACATGGCAGCAGGCAAGAGAGCTTGTGCAGAGGGACTCCCATTTATAAAACCATCAGATCTGGTGAGACTTACTCACTACCATGGGAACAGTATGGGGGAAACTGCCCCATGATTCAGTTATCTCCATCTGGCCTTTCCCTTGACACCTTATTACAATTCAGGGTGAGATTTGAGTGGGGACACAGTCACACCGTATCAACTTCTCAGTACAGAAGCACCGGTTTATATGGCTATTTACATTTCGATTTAATTAAAATTAAATAAAGTTAAACATTTCATTACTCATTTACACTAACCACATATCAAAAGCTCAGTAGCCACATGTGGCCTAGTGGCTACTGCATTGAGCAGTGCAGATCTAGACATTTCTGTCATCATAGAACGTTCTAATTGGATAGCACTGTTATTTGATTAAAAGGTGAATGTTTTTAATTTGTAATGTTTTATTTTAATAATGGGAAAATTTAAGCTGAATTAAAATGTTCTCTGAATAAAACATATATTTGCCATTTATGGGATGTATCTGATTATGTGAGAATGGATACTTATTTTCATTTTGGCGTAAATCATAGGTAATTTTACTGAAAATACAAATTTTATGTGAAATTGCAGGAAACCTGGCAACACAAATATAGACAATTTCTTTTTAATGGGAAGATTGTGTTGATTCTTTGATAAAATACATTGAGCTCATGTTCCCTATTTATGCACTTTTTGTTTTACCTTGCAGATATTTCTGTTGATTGTCTTTATGTGTATAACATTACTGATTGCCAGCCTCATCTGCCTTACTTTACCAGGTATGAGCTTGTGCTAGCCTTCAGCTAATAGCATCATTAAGGTTATTTATTTAGCTATTTGACAGAGTCTTGCTCTGTTCCCCAGTCCGGAGGGTAGCAGTGTGATCATAGCTTATGGCAACCTTGAACTACTGGGCTCAAGCAATCCTTCCGCCTCAGCTAGGTCTATAGCTCCATTTAGGAATTCAAAAATTAGAGTACCATATTAGGAAGACAATCTGTAGGAAAAAATACGCTGGAAATTTGGGTCTTGCTGTTCTCTCTAGCCTATTGAGAAGTAATCACGTAAAGTAAGTTACTGAATTATGTAAGTGATCTTACCCAAGTGATCGTTGTGGGACACTGTAGAGTTTATTCTGAACAACTTTTTGTATGAGGTGCTCCTTCAGACTACTCTCAGATCCATTTTTCACATTCCAGTATATTCAGATAGTCTTAACTTTTTCTAAGAAAATTAATACGGTATTCTTTGATTATTGTGCTTTAAAATGTTATTGTGTCCACTCATTAAAATAAGCTTAGTTTTCTGTCTTGATGAATGAGCCAATTGGAAGAAAGTTACTCTAAATTATTTGTAATGTTTCTAAATATTGAAAGTAATTCCCCACTTTTGTCCTATTATTTGCGTAACAGTTTCATTTGGTGATAAAAACAATGAAAACATTAATTCCCTCAAAAGCTTTTTTATACCTAAAAGAACAAGTAATTGGCATGACAAAGCAGAGTGTGTCCCAGTAGAGCTCACCTCCATTGAACTTAACCTAGTTTTGGTTGTGATTTCATGAAATCGTGCACTCTTTAGACGTTGTGGTTTTTGTCATTTGTTTTTTGATGAAGACATTGATATATCGAATGTGATATCTTTTTCCTAATGTGAAAATACTAAAAGAACAACATGAAGATTACAATTCTCTTTACCTAGCCACATGTCTCATTTATCAGCTTTTCTATTTTCAGTATTTGCTGGCCGTTGGTTAATGTCATTTTGGACGGGGACTGCCAAAATCCATGAGCTCTACACAGCTGCTTGTGGTCTCTATGTTTGCTGGCTAACCATAAGGGCTGTGACGGTGATGGTGGCATGGATGCCTCAGGGACGCAGAGTGATCTTCCAGAAGGTTAAAGAGTGGTCTCTCATGGTATGTGTTTGTAATAAAAGACTGATCTTGTCTGTTAGGAATAGTGAATATTTTTCCAGTCATCTTAAATTTTTTTTTTTTTGGGCACTTTTATTTCCTTACTATATTGTTTCAAGAGAGTTGATTTTTTGAATTAGAAGGAATATTCTTTTAAGATAGTGGCTTTCTGGTTCATTCCTGTTCAGAGTCCTACATTCAGATGTATTTGAGGTTTAAAAGAAAAACAGACCGGGCACGGTGGCTTATGCCTGTAATCCCAGTACTTTGGGAAGCTAAGGCGGGAGGATTGCTTGAGCCCAGGAGTTTGAGACCAGCCTGGGCAACAAAGCAAGACCCCATCTGTATTTTAAAAAGTATATGTATATAACATATTTTTTACTGGATCACTTAGTAGCGTGTTTTTCTTTATACTCGGGCATGCACACACCCACACAGGCTTATATTACTTACTTAAGGGCCTTACTGGACACTTCGTAACATTATTGCTCTCAGTAACACATTTGACTGCCACAAATGTAGGATTAAAAAAAAATAGATGATTATCTGAGTGTGGTGATGTATGTCTGTACATGTGTAATGTTGGCTGCAGCTGGTAATTATGTTTAGGTTACTGCTTATACCTTTTCATTTGTGTAATCAACTCTAATTTTGTATCAATTTGTATTTTGATTTTGATTTCATTAGAAGTTTAATATCCATTTAATATTAATGTTGAAGAAAAATATAAAATCCATTTTTATAGTGAGAGATTCATTCGATATTATGGAGGGGTTTAATTGCTATTTAATCCATAAGATAATGAGACACTTAACCGTATTTAAAATACAGAATCCAACTAATTCCAGTTTTCATTTGATAGTCTTCCATATTATTAGAAAGTGCAGTGTAGAGAAACAAGTACTTTGTCTTACACACACATCATATTTAGTCTCTTGTTGAAACAGGTGTGTTTTCTGAGGCCACCTGAAGTAAAAGAGAGGTCATCAGGATCCAAGGCCACTTTAAATCATTTTTTTTGGTCAGAATTTCATCATTACTCTTTTATAATGTCTCCTGTCTGTGTCAGCTTTGTTTTCATTTTGCCATTTAGTCCAGTTGCTAGAGCTGCACTGTCTGGTATATTAGTCATGTGGCTAAATGGCTACCATATTTGACAGATACAGGGCATTTCTATCAGTATGGTAAGTTCCACTGGACCATGTCGTCCTTTGAGGGAGCCAGTTTGATCAGCTTTATTAATTAATTTAGGATTGTGCAGAGCCCTTCCTCTATACCAGTCCACCTCAAGGTTCACAGATCAGCCTGTGTATGGGTGGGCCACTGTTGGAGCAGGGGCCCTGGCCAGTCGGTGGCTTTTCTTGAGCAAACGGAAACCTAGTCCTGAGAATTGGATTGTGAGAAAAAACAGCCCAGCCACCTGTGTGCTTTTTATGTAAGAGACTTGAGCACCTGCAGATTTTCTGGGTCCTAAAACCAGTCCCTGTGGATACTGAGAGATGACTGTGGTTGCTCTGCTAGGCATCAGTCTCAAACCTCAAAATGGAAATAGAGTTTGGCTCAGTCAGAAAGATCCTCTTCAATGATATGGTCTCCTGTTTCCTGATAGATCATGAAGACTTTGATAGTTGCGGTGCTGTTGGCTGGAGTTGTCCCTCTCCTTCTGGGGCTCCTGTTTGAGCTGGTCATTGTTGCTCCCCTGAGGGTTCCCTTGGATCAGACTCCTCTTTTTTATCCATGGCAGGTAAATGTATGTCTTTTGTTCATGTTATTTCATTAAGGATTTGGGATCAGAAAATAATCCAAGCCGGGCATGTGGCTCACGCCTGTAATCCTAGCACTTTGGGAGGCCAAGGTGGGAGGACTGCATGCACCCAGGAGTTCGAGACTAGCCTGGGCAGGATGGCCAGACCTAGTCTCTATAAAAAATTGGCTCATGCATCTGGTCCCAGCTTCTTGGGAGGCAAAGGTGGGAGGATCGCTTGAGCTTGGGAGGCCACGGTTGCGGTGAGCTGAGATCATGCTACTGCACTCCAGCCTGGTGACAGAGTGAGACCCTGTCTTTAAAAAAAAAAAAAAAAAAAGAGCATCCTGAGGGAACCCATGTAAGTCACAGCAAAGGTCTTAAAGCTCATGGAAAAAGAAATGGAACTTTTCTATTGTATTTAGAGCCTGAGGTTTTTAACATCATTGAATTAAGATCTCAAGTTCTTAGTAGGTATTGGGGGAAAAGAGCTAGGTATTGACTTCAGTCATTCAAAGGCTTTTTAGCTTTATTTTTATCTCTTAGTGTATTGCAATGGATTTTTCAGAAAATGAAAATTATTTGGGCCATATTTCCCTTTCTCTGCTTTCCAGATGGAGAAGCTCTACAAACTTCATTTACCAGAAAATTTTTATTTAAGTGCTTTTAATGTGTACCCACACCCTGGATTGTATCACCCAGGTGAAAATGAGGCTAGTGCAGGAATTTTCCTGAGGAATTTACACTCTGATGGGAAAGCCAGACAGATACACAGGTGTTGTGTGGTGTGATTAGGGAAAGCACAAGGAACTGTGGCATTGTGTAGGAGAGGCATTTAACCTGACTTTGGGAGTTTCAGGTATGGTTTTCTGTAAGAGATAGTATCTAAGCCAACCTGACTAGTAGAGAACAGAGAAGTGGGTAAAAAAGGAAGAAGTATATTCCAGGAGGGAGATGCTGGGCAGACCTGGTGTGAGACAAAGCATGCATATGTGGGGAACTGCCTCCTTTCTAGTCTGTCTCATAGACTAGAATAGACAAGAAATAAGTAATACAAAGAAGTACAGAACTGACTTGTGTTTTGATTTATGACTTTTTAACTTTTTGATCGTTGAAAGCGATACACATTCAGTAGAAACTGTACTTTGAGTACTCCTACAGCTATCCTGTTTTTCACTTTCAGTACAGTATTCAGTAAATTGCATGAGATATTCACTACATAATTATAAAATAGGCTTCGTTAGGCCTCAGTTTTACTACAAGGCAAAAAATAAAATAGGTTTTGTGTTAGAAGCTTTTGCCCAAATGTAGGCTAATGTAAATGTTCCGAGCGCATTATGATAGGCTGGGCTAAGCTATGATGTTCGGTAGGTTAGATGTATTAAATGCATTTTTGACTTAGGTGTTTTCAATTTAAGATGGGTTTGTCTGGACCTAACATCGTTGTAAGTTGAGGAGGATCTAATTAAGCATATGTTATGCCTTTCTGTAAGAGCTGTATTCCAGAGTAGTCTAATAGTATCTGTAATTGAAGGAAAGAGCTACTTTTTTAAAATTTTTTTTACAGAAAAATGCCAGCAAATAAAGGTAGAGAGATTAATGGGATTAGAAAAATACTATTTTGCAATACCAAACAAGATAATTGATAATAGCAAGGATTGTTAGTGGATGTTGAATCCAACAGATGAAAGGTTGATCGGTCTTTAATTGCTATTGCTGTATAACAAGTTATTCCACAACTTTGTGGCTTAAAACAACCATTTTAATTTTGTCCATAGAGTTTATGGGTCAGATATTAAGACAGAGCATATCCGTTTGTCTCTGCTCTGTGCTATCTGGAGCCTTAACTGGGAAGATTCAATGGCCGGGAATGATTTGACAGTTATAGCTGGAATCATTTGGCTGGAAACATAGCTAGTGGAGGGATCAGGTTGACAATACCCTAACCCAGTCAGTGATCACTGAACAATACGAGAGTTGATTCTTGTTGTTGGTTGCTACCCATCTGGGGCTGTTGACTGGAGCTCCTGTATGTGCCTGGGCTTCTTCATAGCTATGTAACCTCAAGGTATTTGGGCTTCTTATGTTGTAGTTTAGGGAAATGAGTGTCCCCACAAACAAGAAGCTGCATCATCTTTTATGACCCCCTGTCAGAAGGTCTACAACATCACTTTTCAGTAAATTTTACTGGGTATAAGCAAGTAACAAATGTTGGCTAAGATTCAAGGGAAGAGGACATAGACCCCCTACCACATAATGGGAAAAGAATTTGCAGGTATGTTATATTGCAGTGTGAAAGTGGTTATTTGCATGGTGGCGAAGTGTCACCTTATGGATTACTTGATGGCTCAAAGGGAAACAACTAGTAGAGGGGTCAGGCTGACAATACCCTAACCCAGTCAATGATCAAGCACAGTGCTGCTGCAAATGAGACAAACAGATACTATCTGCATTTTAATGTTACGCGGCATGAGCCCTGAAAAAGGCCAAAGCATCCTGTGACATCAAGGAGCCATCTTGGCATTGTTAGCCAGGCCTTGGTGTTCTCCTGTTGGACATAAACAATTTGACAGAACATCAACGTCATACGCTGTCACTCTATGATCAAGATAGAGGAACACAAAAGCAAGGCCCTCTGTGGTCATGTCTGAACACAGACAGAACGTGAGCATTATTCAAGCCACAGAAATGACCAAACATTCCCCTTTACTGGCTAACATGATTGGTTACTGCTTCATTACCAATTACAGTTTTAGCTTCTGCCACTTTTTCTAGATAAGATTTATTAAGATAACCATTCACAGATTACTCTGCTTTCTAATAGCATCCGATACCAAATTCCTGCTTCCTTAAATCCTCCCCCAAATCGCTAACACAAGCGGAAATCCTACAATAACCCCTTTCTGGCACTGTTACTGAGGGGCCCCAAGTTCTCCATGCTGTGTTACTCCCTTGCTGCAATGAGTAATACATGCAACTTGTTGTAGTTATACTTGTATTTTTGGTGGTCTTTACGGTACTCAGCATTACCTGTGAAATCATCATCACCTTAGAGAATTCTTTGGTACTATCAAAGTTTAAAAATGCTTATATATTATGACTCAGCAATTTGGCTTTTTAGAATCTACTGCATGTATACAGGAGGCGTGAGCAAGGCTGTTTCTGCAAATACATCATTTTTTATAGCAAAAAAATGAGAAATGATCCAGATGTCCACCAATAGAGAATGCCCAAATAAATGTGGACTATCAGTGCAGCAATTGAAAAAATGAAGTGGAGATATTTGTTTTGACATCGATAGCTCCCAGACATGTTTCTGGGTTGGGGGAAAGCACAAGCTGTAGACAGATAATGTGCAGCGTGCTATCCTTAATGTTTTGCATTAAACCCCCAAGTTTTGGAAGGAACAGCTTGCTTTTTCTCCATTCATGACTTTAAGCTACTTGCCTTCCCTGCAGCAAGTGGCTGCAGCCCTGTGGGATAGTGGGCCACTTGGAATTCTAGCAGAGCAGCTAGTGTGGTGTGTGTCCTGTCTGACAGGAAAGGACTGCAAAGCAGTGGGTTTTAGAGAATGTGAATCACAGTGATCTTGGACCTCCTCGGGTAAACATTAATCTCATTTGGGTGTCTGCTGGACTCCCAAAAGGCCAACAGAAAGCTGAGTTGGTGGGTTGTTGCATCTTCCCTGCCTGTGAGAAAAAGCAGGGAGGCTTTCTTCACGTTCCTCAGGAGGAGATTGTTGGACGCTATCCCAAAGGTCTGAAGAGCTAAAAGATCCTTTTGAAGCCCTTTAGGATATTCTGAACCAGGCCCAAGCCTCCTTGAAGCTGCAAAGGAAATTGTAACAAGTGCTTTATATGCAGGAGGTTCAGCAGCCACAGAAAGGCCGTTAAGGCAGAGCAGTCAGAACGCATGCCAGTTTGACAGAGAACTGCTGGCAGAGCCATGAGCTTCCAGAGAGAAGAGCAAACACACAGGACGCTGAGTGCAGTATGTTCACACGCACACACAAACAGCAGCTCTAAAGCAGAATGCAGTTGTTGTGGAGCTGTATGGCATAGATTTCAGACAAATCTAGTAGTGAAAAAAGATGCAGACAGTCACCACTGGGCTTGGCTTGGAGACATGGAAGATGAATGCAAAGCACTGAGCAAAATGGAAGAGGAAATTGAGAAAGAGAAGTGTTTTGGAGGAGACATCTAGGAGACTTAGTGTAGTGATAATGGGGGTTCCAGAAGGAGGAAATGTGAGGCAGCATTGATACAAAAATAGGAGAAAATTTAACTGAATTGTAGAAAGATCTAATTCTGTAGGTTGAAAGGGCTCATCAGATTTGGTAAGATTGAGATCCAAGATAAAAACACATATTTAGGTATATCTTGTTAGACACGGGGAAATCATATACAAGCTTCAAAAATCTGTACTGTCATTGGACTTCTTTTCTATAGCACTGAAAACCATAAGTTATCAGAGAATTTATAGATGACTGAGATAAAAGGGACAAAACCCAAACTTCCTCTACCCAGACAAAAAATAATATAACTGTTCAGCTATCAGGATGAAGATTGATATTTGAGGGTATTCAAGAATTCAGTGTGTGTATCAGCCTCTCACCCCATTTGAAGAAGATCCTTAGAAGATTAACCAATCAAACCAGTAAAGAAATGGGAACATTGGCCTCAAGATGGTAGACAGTGAAGAAGAGAATTAACAATCTGAGCAAAGTCCATATAAAAAATGATACTACATATTTTCTATGGGATATAGATGTATAGATGCAGCTGAATGCATGGGAAAAAATGTGGATGGTATGTACCAAAAGCTAATAGTAGTTATTGCTGGGGAGGGATCAGGATTTAAGGTAGTGGTCACAGAGGACTCCAGTCTTCTCTGTAAAGATTTTGGTTTTATGTAAGAATCAGTCTAAATGTTACATGGGGTTTCTTTTAAAAAAAAAAAAAATATATATATATATATACACACACACACACACACACACACACACACACACACACACACACACACACATATATTTAAATAAGTTAGATAGAGACCAGGTTGTAAAGGGTTTTGTGTGTCTTGCTAAGGACTTTAGGGTTGTTAAGCAGGGAAGTTACATTCATGATCTGATTTGCATTTAAAGAGATATTTGGTGGTGGTGGTGATGGGAGCTGTGGGGAGGTAGTCATCACTCTGACTGCCCGGTGGAGAGTTGAAGGGTAGGCAGGCCAAGAGTCCATTGCACCATGAGGAGTAACCTAGTAACAGTTCCCCGATAGAACCACAAATGCTTCAAACTAGAAGCTATCTGTGAGCCTTTAGAATGGTTTCTTAGGCCAAACTTGGCTCCACAGTCTTAATTTGACATACATAAGCTCAGTTGAAACCAACGAAATAGCCTAAAGATGGTTTGAAATAAAATCTTGGCATTTATTTTATTTGCTTTTTGAGATCTCCATTAGTGTCCAGACTTTTTCTAACTCTTGGGAAAACAATATAGATTTTTAAAAGACAGAAGAATGATTTTTGGTGGAAACACTGAATTTGAGCTGTTGAAGAAAAAGAATTCTCTGGGTTTTCAGTACATGTTAGTCTTTTGTAAAATTGTTGCCAGTCCTGTAGAACTTCTGTTTTGATGTGAAATAATGTAAGAAAATTATACAGCCTTTCTGCTGTGTTTATTGTTAAAAAACAACAGAAATCTGTTAAATGGTTTTTAATTCCCTAGGACTGGGCACTTGGAGTCCTGCATGCCAAAATCATTGCAGCTATAACATTGATGGGTCCTCAGTGGTGGCTGAAAACTGTAATTGAACAGGTAAGCAAGATCAGTTTTCAGAGAAAGACATTCTGGAATTGGTTGTGTTTATGTTTGGTGGCTATAACTCTTATTTCTTATCTTTCTTACTTGCTGAGTTTTCTACATTTTGTTTGATGGGCATATATAATTTTTTTTTTTTTTTTTTAAGACGGCAGTTTAGTTTTACCACTGTAGGGGAGGAAAAATAATTTTTTTCTCAACCCTTTTTTTTTTTTTTTTTAAGTTAAAATGGAACCCTTTAATAAAAGACTAAGAACAGAAAAACAAAAGTTTATTAAAGTACGTATTTCATATATACATGGAGATACCCAGGGAATGAGTAATTTCAAAGAGGTGGCTTTGAATTCCAGCTGATCTTCAACAAAGAATAATAAATTTTTAGAGAAGTGACAAGATGAAAAGAACTTTGACTCTCTAGTGGTGGCTAGATGCTGCTCCTTAGTAAAGCTTGGCAGTGTAGATTCCTCTGGTGCCATCTAGAGGCCCAGAAAGGCCCAAAACTCTCTTCAGTGGGCAATCTTTGTCCTCCCTGGTGGAGGCAGGTAGGGTGGGCTACCTTTTGTCTTTATACGTTTATATTCTGCTTCTAGGCAATAGAGGGAGGACAGAAAGTTTTCCTACATCTACCCTTTCTCAGTTGCATTCAGCTCAAAACAATCCCTATGCCAAAGAGACATATTTTTAGGGTGGCATATTGTGGTCTTCTATATTCCCATGAATTTTCATCAACCACGTTTAAGACATCCTTTATCTGAAGGTTAACCAGTAGCTTACAGTATCTAGAACCCTGTTCGTAGTGGAGACAGAATGAAAATACGTGCTTTTTTTCTGGTGAAGTTTGATATGAATGTATCTAAGCCTGTAGTAGATTTTGGAGTGGGGAAAAGGTTATTGCTCGAGGTGGTAAAGGCAGAGGAAAAAACAGATTACAAAAGGAGAGCTGTTTTGGCTTGATCTAGCTACGTAGTGCCTAAGACTGTTATTGTGTTACAGAACTGCCAGATAATTTGATTGTTGTGGCAATACCTTGGAAAAGATAGACTGTGCTTTAGCACTCCGATAATTAGACTAGGAGTATGGTACTTCTTTTAAGGAAAATTTCTATCCAAAATGGCCAACATAACAGATTTTGCTACCTCTTTACGCTTTAGTTATCTAGCAGATGTACTTGTTGGGACCCCTCTTATCCTTAGGCCAGTGCCACATAAATAAGACATGACAGTTCTGTAGCAGTAAAGTACACCTCTTTTTGATGTATGAGAAGTATAGACAGTAGTTAGCCAAACATGCTCAAGAAAATCTGTTCAAAAAGTACCTATATTTCAAGATTTTATTCTTAGGAGTGGGGGGTTGGGGAGCCAGCACATTGCAGTGTGTTTGTGTGTGTGTGTAAAGTATGGGCTAATTCTGAAGTCCACCAGGAGTGTGATGGATTGGGGGCTTCTGGCTTCATATCCCTTCAGGATCAGAGTGCAGGCCAGTACACTCTAGAGTGGCCAGGTTAGACTCTGGCCCTTGAAAAAGGAGCGTGGAGATAAGGTTTATTCATACTGGAGCTGTGGAACATCATTGATCCTCTAAATAATTTGTTCTGTTATTGTTTTCTCTTGCGTGTGTGTGTGTGTGTATAAATTTAAGTAAAATGGTTGGGAATGGTTGAGAAACACTGGGATGCTTTGCTTCATTGATTAAAATGCATTTGGGTTAACTAGGTGTCTTTGGGAATGGAAGCATGCCTTTAAAAGGTTAAGCATGTTTGCCATTCAAATTCTGAGGTGATGGGTTTGAGTTATGCTACATTCAGTCACAGCTAAGAGAGGTTTAAGTGCTGCTGGGGAGGCAAGAGGAGAAGAAAATAACAGCCTTCTGCCTTGTTTCTGTCTGCACTCCATCTAAATTTTCTGTCCCCAAGGTTTTCCCATTTCCATCCATTCTTTCCTCTGCATTACTCTTGTAGAGTTTTCTGGATAAGATGATGGAAATGTTCTAGCAATTCTTAGACTTGCTTTTTTTATATTCACTATATAATTCTTTCATACTAAATTTTTAACTACCTTTTGATTTGTTAAAGTTTGATTTATGCAAGCTTTTCAGAAATGTTTCCTGCTTCAGTATTTTCTCATCATACTCAGATAAAATGAATGCAATATTGTATAATAACACAATATTACATATTATATGTGTCTTACATAAGGTGTATGAAGTTACTTCAGGTAGTGTGGTCTTGAATGAATACCACTGAATGTCATCTGGTATTGTATAGTGCAAGTAGAGTATAAATTATTCTAGATTAGTGTGTTATTTCATCACTTAGCTAGCAGAGCTAATTGCAGAGTGTTAGTGGGTAAATACATTTCCTCAGAAACTCGTGGGCACTGTGCTTTTATGTTGGTATACCAGAATTTGCCTTGACTTAAAAGTAACCAGTTTGACTATTTTTGGGTTGGTAGATTCAGTTGTGTGGAGATTGCTCTATTAACTTGGAGGAATTTGTCTTGTATCTTTGTTCTAATTGTTTTTTTATAATGTTTCAGGTTTATGCAAATGGCATCCGGAACATTGACCTTCACTATATTGTTCGTAGACTGGCAGCTCCAGTGATCTCTGTGCTGTTGCTTTCCCTGTGTGTACCTTATGTCATAGCTTCTGGTGTTGTTCCTTTACTAGGTACGTAATGCTGGTTGTGGAGCTTTGAAGGAGCACTTTTACTAACATTGGACATTCTTTTCACCCCTAGTAAAAAGGATGGCTCACTCCATATGCTTTATTTGTAAACATGAATCCAGCTAAAACAATGATTTCAAAATACTACTTTTCTTAGATTTGACTACTCTGGGTGAGATTAGAGGATCATAAAGCTCTTTGATACAGTTCGTTTCTCTACCAGAAGATAAAATTTGAAATTTACGTGCTGTACAAAATAGGCAGGATCAGATTTCCTTCAAGTTGTCTGCATCTGACTAGAAGTGCTGTGGTTATGTAAAATTAAGTAACAGTGTTGTTATATTTAATTTTTAAAGACATACTCTTTGGCATAAAAGGATACCCAAAGAGGAGATGCTACTGTGCAACATGTTTATACTTGGAAATACACTGTCTTATTGATTGTGTACTGAAGAATCCTCATAGCTCCTTAAACCCAGCATATTTTCAAAATTATAAGCAGAGACTTTTCCTTTCCAAATCTTTTTCTTCTCCAGAATTCCATCTCTCAGCAACAAACATTATCATCCAACAAATTGCATAAGTCAGAAACCTTGAAGGCTATCCATGTCACCTTATTCTGTCCTCCATGTCCCTCTGGTCTCCAAGTGTCCCATTCTTCCCTGAGGAATCTGGTCTCGTCTCTGGAGCCTTTGCTCCTGACTTCTGTTGAGTCATTCGTCTCCTACCTTCGTCTCCTACCCTAGCTTTGGCACCTTCCTATCTGGTTTCCCAGCCTTAAACCTGCCACCACTAATTCCTTCTCCACACTGGGCACAATGACCTTTCAAAAGAATGAATCTCACTGTGCCTCTTTGGTGAACATTTTTTCATTGGTTCCTCTGTGGCCTTTAATACAGTCCAACCTTTTGGCATAGTTTACAAGGCTCCTCCTTTTGCTTTGATGTGGACTTCAGTTTGACCTCACTCCTTGCCTTACTGCATGTCATATACTCTGAGTTTTGATTAAACAACCATGGAATGGCCTCTTATCAAACACAGCATGTCCTCTTATCTCCATGGCTGTCTCCACATTTTCATTTGTCTTATCCATCTGCCAGAAATGCCGCCCTCCTCCCTTTAACCATGAGAGAAGAGCTTAAAAAAACACACAACCAAACTTGCAGTGTAACATGTATACTTGTATGTTACCTTACTAGGTCAAGAAATAGAACTTTTCCAGCCCCTTGGAAGCCCTTTGTGTGTGTGCCCTTCTTTACCTTTTGCCATTGGTTTGACTTCTAATAGTCTCATTGCTTCTTAGCCAGTAAAGATATTAGCCATGTGCAGTAGCTGCTTGGGAGGCCAAGGTGGGAGGTTGCTTGAGGCCAGGAATTCAAGACCAGCCTGAGCAACATGGCGAGACCCAACCTCTAAAAAAACAAATAAATAAATTATCTGGGAGTGGTGGCACATGCCTGTAATCTCAGCTGCTCTGGAGACTGAGGCAGGAGGATTGCTTGAACCCAGGAGTTCAGGGCTAACCTCAGGTTGTGACACTCCCATCTAGCCCAGGCAACAGGGCAAGACCCTGTCTCTTAAAAAAAAAAAAAAAATTGCTAAACACAGGTTTGTATAGAGAGAGGCTAAGCAATGTATCCCTCAATCTGCAGGGTGGCATGGGAAACAGGGAACAGTTAAGCTGAGGACCCACAGTGTGCAAACTGCATTGTTTCCTGGTTCCTTCCAAGTAGAAACTTCAAGGCTTTTATTTGGTTTGAATTGTGACTATGCCAAGTATCATAAATACCATATTAAAATGCAAACATATATTTCATGCAAAATATATTTCAAAGTCCATTTTTGTTTGTTTGTTTTGTTTTTTTTGAGAGACAGACTCTCGTTCTTTTGCCCAGGCTGGAGTACAGTGATGCAATCCCGGCTTGCTGCAACCTCTGCCTCCTGGGTTCAAGCAATTTTCCTGCCTCAGTCTCTTGAGTAGGTGGGACTACAGGCATGCACCACCATGCCCGGCTAATTTTTGTCTTTTGGTAGAGGTTTCACCATGTTGGCCAGGCTGGTCTTGAACTTCTGACCTCAGATGATCCACCCGCCTCGACCTCCCGAAGTGCTGGGATTACAGGCGTGAGCCACCACGCCCAGCCCATTGCTTATTAGTTGAATATGTCATTAAAATTAAATTATTTTGACTCTGTAGAACAATCTATTTACTGGTTTTGTCTAGACTAGGAATGCCCTATTTTCTTTTTTATTCTAATTATCATATTATTTTCTGCCTATTAATAGTATATAGACTTAAGAATTTGGATTTCCAAACCAGTCGTTCATATTTTCATTTTTAAAAATTTTATTGTGAGCTTTTCTGGAAAGACTTTGGAAGGGAAAAAGAGTGGCAAATGAAAAATGTTAGTACCTGTTTTGCCCTGTTTAGATGCTTTATGTAATTCTTACACGTTAGTCTTATGCACAGCACACTATTGTGTTTGGAATAATCCACCTGAGGGTATTAATTTTCTGATTTCCTCGGAAATACTTGCTCTGATTTTAAAGCCCCCCCAGTCCCCTCTGCTAAGGAAGTATTAAAACTCATGAGTTAAATATAGAAAAATAAATACATGTGTGTGCTACAAGTTTGAGGATATTTTTTATTATATAAGCACAGTTTTGGTTTTGCCTCTTTAAACTGTGGCACAGTTGAAATGTATAAATGATACCACTGCTTGTGGAACATGAGAAGTCATCTCATCCACTTCTCACTCTGTTGTCCAGGTTGGAGTGCAGTGGTGTGATCTCAGCTCCTTGCAACCTCCACTTCCCAGGTTCAAGCGATTCTCCCACCCCAGCCTCCTGAGTAGCTGGGACTACAGGTGCAACGCCACCACACCTGGCTAATTTTTGTGTTTTTTGGTAGAGACAGGGTTTTACCACATTGGCCAGGCTGGTCTAGAACTCCTGACCTCAAGCAATCCGCCCGCCTTGACTTCCGAAAGTGCTGGGATTACAGGCGTGAGCTACCATGTCTGGCCGCCTTGTTTTACAAATGAGAAAAGGGGGGGTCAGAAAGGGCTCATGACCCACACAGATTGTAGAAAGTTAACAGACCTGGAGCTTAGAAAGCTTGTCTGCCCCAGTCCATTCTTCCTAGGGGAAGGACATGTTTATGTTTCATGTCACTGTTATTTCACATACACTTAAAGTTTTTCTTTTTTGGTTTTCTAGGTGTTACTGCGGAAATGCAAAACTTAGTCCATCGGCGGATTTATCCATTTTTACTGATGGTGGTGGTATTGATGGCAATTTTGTCCTTCCAGGTCCGCCAGTTTAAGCGCCTTTATGAACATATTAAAAATGACAAGTAAGTCTGGTGTTCTTTTCATCTCTTGTTTACGTGTTTTCACTTCTTAATTTATGTGTCTGATGTGACAAATCATAGGAGGGAAACATGCTCAGATTCTGGATATACTTGGAGGTGGGATTAGCAAGGTTTGCTGACAGATAGTGTGACATGTGAAGGAGAGTGGAATGAAGGACTCAGTTGGCCCAAACAACAGGGAATATGGAGTTGTCACTTACGGAGCTGGAAAAGACTGGGAGAAACTGTTTTGGAGAGGGAGGGTTTTTTTTTGGTGGTGATGGTTTTTTTTCTGAGACCGAGTCTCGCTCTGTTGCCAGGCTGGAGTGCAGTGGTGCGATCTTGGCTCACTGCAACCTCTGCCTCCCAGGTTCAAGCGATTCTCCTGCCTCGGCCTCCCAAGGAGCTGGGATTACAGGTGTGCACCACCACGCTCAGCTAATTTTTGTATTTTTAGTAGAGACAGAGTTTCACCATGTTGGCTAGGATTGTCTCGATCTCCTAACCTCGTAATGCACCTGCCTTGGCCTCCCAAAGTGTTGGGATTACAGGCATGAGCCACTGCACCCAGCCAAGAGATTTTTTAATGCCCATTCCAAATAGTTTTTCAGTCTGTTTTCAAATGTTTTGGTCTGACAGTATATTAAATAGTTTTAGATAAAAATAAGAAGCCTGCATTAGAAACCAGCAGTGCCCTGCATAAGCTCCTCTTGCTTATGCAGGGCCACTAGGTTACTCTCAGGTTGCACAGAGAGGCTTGAGGGTTACTGCAAAAATGTTGTGGTACTCTGTGTTTTGAGGAAACCATTGAAAACTCTGTCACTTGATCTCAGTGAGAGATCGAGGAAAGCCAAGGAATACACCTTCCTGGGATAATATTTGACCTTTCATGTCCTGCCTGTAGGCTGAATCATCTGCTTCACTGGGTTCTAGCAGAGAAAGTGAGTTTGTTGTTTATCCAAAGAGAGTCCCAGTTTATACCTGCTGCCTTTGTATCATTATTAACACTATCCCCTTTTACTTGTGCTTGTCCCCCCTTGCACAACAAATTATACAGTTACCTTATTTGTCCTGAGGAGTAAGATTTTTGAGAATGAAATTTATAGCGTTCAAGACTTCTCCAAAGCATTTACTGACAGTAAAAAATACAAGTATACTTAGCCAGTCAGAGTACAAAGGACTGTCAACTGAAAGAAGAGGAAGGGGTATTTTCAATGATGAAAATCAACTTTTTAGCACTTAACTTTTTGGCAGAGGAGTAAATACTGCAAACAGAATGACAAGCAAGACATGCCCTGAGGGAACTTCCTGCCTACTTCTTTCTGTATGCTGGGCGCCTGCCTTTTTGCACTCTGCCCTTCTCAGCCTTTGCCACGGGTCTATTCCCATTGACCTCTTATTTCTCATGCTTTATCTTCTTCTGCTTTTTGCTGTAGCCCAGTGTCCTCTTTCCTCTTTTCCCATCTATTCCTTCATGCAGAAAACTGTAGACTTAAGTGAGGGCATGTCTTGTCAGCTGTTGTATATGTACTCTTTAGCACAGTGTTTGGTCTGTAGGAGGTGCTAAGAGTGAGTGAGTGTGTGTGTGAGAGAGTGTGTGTGTGTGGTGGGCTTGAGTATGAGGGAGTGAGTGGTGGTGGAAGAGAGGGAGTTGGGTTCAGAGTCTCCTTTTTCTGCCACTGAGTTACTCTTTGGGCTTGTTCAATTTAACTTGGTTTCTGTATGCTTTTTATTTACTTACTTTGTCATTGCTATAATGCTGACCATATTCTTAGTGCATCTTGCTATTGGGTCATCACTGTGTGCCAGGTAGTGCTATGTATATTTTAGTAGATATTGCTCAACCTTCACTGTTTAAAATATTTGCAAAATCCTCAAACTTTTAAAAAACACTGGTTGTTTGGGAAACAGTGGGGTAAGGAAGGGCTAACTTCAAGAAAAGAAGGTAAGACAAAAGAAAAGGAATAAAACAGTGACATTATGGATAAAGATGCAGTAAGATTAGCATACTTTTTAAAAAGTGACATATTAAGCTACTGGACATAAACTACCCAAATATTTCCTTAGGCTTGTGTGCATTTACAGAAAAGTAATAGATGAAAGTCAAGGTGGAGAAGGTATTGGTGAAAAGTAAGAGTTCCGACAGTGAGCTCTTATTAAAACATGCTAAGCCTTTGTCACCAGGCTTCATATACTTTCCCTTTCTTAAAACAATGCTGCAGCATGGGACTGTTGGTCTCATTTCCTCCATAAACGGAGGAAAGGGATGAAGGAAAGCTCCCTGGCAGCCTGTCATGTGCAGGCCTCACTCTCCCTCAGTCTCCTTAACTCAACTCTGTGAGCTTTTACTGGATCTGCATCTCTGCCTCCAAATGGGTGCCCTTCACACTTGTGCCCAGCCACCTACAGCTTGTTGCCATCCAACTTTGTTGCTGCTGTCCTCTTGGGGTCAGCCTGCAAGCCATCTGCTCACGTTAAGTGAGGCAGGCCTTCAGTGAGCCGTCAGTGCAGCTGTCACCCTTCCCTGGCATTAGAGATGTCTGTCTCCTTGAGTAGGATCTCCAGCCCTGTCGCTCCAGCCACAGTGACATCCGCCTTGTTTCTGCAGCCCTATTGGCCTTTGCCATTGCCTTCTCCTTTCATCACATACGTAAGTTAGGAACATTTGCCATTCTGTTGAACCATATTCTCCCACTTCCTGTCACTTACACTCACTCACTGCCATGCTCTCTTCCCTTTGACTTCACTGATATCTCTCCTTTGATTTCTCCTTTCTTCTCTATAACTAGAGCTTCTAGTTTTACTTTCGTCCTTTCCTACCTTTCTTTTTTTTTTTGAGATGGAGTCACACTCTGTCACCCAGACTGGAGTGCAGTGGCATAATCTCAGTTCACTGCAACCTCTACCTCCCGGGTTTAAGCAGTTCTCCTGCCTCAGCCTCTCTAGTAGCTGGGACTACAGGCATGTGCCACCACACCCAGCTAATTTTGTATTTTTAGTAGAGATGGAGTTTCACCATGGTGGTCAGGCTGGTCTCAAACTCCTGACCTCAGGTGATCCACCCACCTCTGCCTCCAGATGTGCTGGGATTACAGGTGTGAGCCACCGCGCCAAGCCCCTTCCTAGCTTTACTGATGGTCGTGTTTTTAGTCTGTCTCTTTAGATTTGTGCACTAAGTTGTTTTATAAAATCTGAACCTTAACAGATAAATCCACTGCATAAGTTTACTGTATCCCTCCTGACCTCCGTGTGTCTGAGTGTCTGAGACCCCCTAAACCACTGACTGAAGCATGTCCTCCACTGCACAGCATTGGAGGCCTTCCAGCCTTTGCTGCTTCTGCAGCTCTCTACAAACCCGTACCTAGCTAGACGTGCTGGCCTTTACAGATGTTCACTCTGGACTCCCTTTGACTAGCCCAACCATTGACGGGTTTTAAGTAGGAGTTAGATTTAAAAAGACATATGAATGTTTTACTCTGTAAGTTCATACAAGAGAGTAACCACCTTGTTTTTGCAACCTAGGTATCTTGTGGGTCAACGACTTGTGAACTACGAACGGAAATCTGGCAAACAAGGCTCATCTCCAGCACCTCCACAGTCATCCCAAGAATAAAGTAGTTGTCTCAACAACTTGACCTTCCCCTTTACATGTCCTTTTTTGTGGACTTCTCTCTTTGGAGATTTTTCCCAGTGATCTCTCAGCGTTGTTTTTAAGTTAAATGTATTTGACTTATGTTCTCAGCATTCAGAGAGCAGCGGTGTAAGGTTCTGCTGTTCTTCCCTGGATCTTCTGACTTTACTGCTGTCTGAGATTTGTATATGTGTAAATACAAGTTCCTTGATACCCTAAAACCTTGGATTAAACAGAATGTGCATTGTACATCTTTAAACAAAATGTATATTAATTTATTAAATCTAGTTGTCACTTTATTTTGGACCTGCTGTGATCTCGACAGGAAACATGCCACAGAGCAGTAGTGCACAGGCAAGACTTTTCAGTGATGCCTTGTGGAGCGCAGTTCATGATGTCCTAGCAGCTTTCACTAAGGGAACTGTACATTCTTTCTTGGCTATTCAGACCTTACCAAGAACGTTAAAGGAAACAAGTAGAAATCAGCAGTGGAGTGTCTGTGGTAAGAAAACATGAACTTTATGCTTCACTGTTAGTTGTTTGTGGAAGTTATTTTGTATAACACCAAAGCTGTTGTACATTTTCTACTGCCTGATTTTTTTCATGTGTCTGTGTTTGTAATATTGTATAGTATCTTGTGCTAGGTGAGGAAATTATTTTTAATTTTGATAATTTAATATTCCTAATGTGATCAGCATTGGGAGTTGGGTTTCAGTGCTTGTTAGGGGCATGTCTATACTTAGAAAAGAGAAAAAAAGTCCAAATGAAGATTTTCATTAGTCCATCCCCCACCCCCCTGCCCCACATCCTTTCTTTTCTGTAGCAGTGGCCAGAAGTCATGCAAGGTCATAAATCTTTCAGAATGACATCACCAACTGTATTGCATCTTACTGGATTTAGGACTTCTGAGATGCTTGTGAGGTGTAGATGTGGTTGTGGTCTTAGATTGACAGCATTAGAGAAGACTGGTTAGGACATCTGGTCTCGATGGTTAGCGCCTCATTGGCTGAGGACTAGGTGTCCATTTCTCCTAGCTTTTCATCAGGAAATCCCAAAGTTTCCAAAGCTTTTTGTTTACAGAATAAAACTTCAAATAAAACCAATTCATTATTTTTCCAGAAGGAAGCTTGACTGAGCTGGCCTTTTAACATAGGAATGTATTTCATTGGAAACATTCTGAAAAATCTCAGAGAACTAAACCCTTACAAACTTTGTTTTCCCTCATAACCAAAGCTTCAAATTAGAAGTTTAGAAAAATAGAATGGTTGGGTACATGATCTAAGTGTTTAATGTTAAAGGTATATTGTAAGGGTAGTGTTTGTTTTTGAATGATACTTTAGGAGGTCTCATAGAAAGTGTATAGCATAGGTCTTCAGGAACTATAAAAGAATTTTCATATAGTATTAAAATCCAGAGACTAAAATCTGAGAAATTTTTAACATATGCAAGTCAGCCAAACATAAGCTACCAAAATAAAGAGCAATGTGTTCTGGCTGTTTTATACTTCAACAATTTTTTCCCTAAGTGGTAAGCAGTTACTTTAAAACACATTTTTAAAAACATCAGTATCAGGAGCTGCGGTGGCTCTGGCCGGTTGTCCTAGCACACAAGGAGGCGAGGCTGTGCGTTCAAGGCCAACCTAGGCAAAATTTGGAAAATAAAAAAATCAGTATTAGAAATAATGCTTGACATAGGATTCAGTGTTACACCCTTTGGCACTTTGGAGTAGCCTGTTCTCTCATTTGAAATAAGGTCTTTGTTAGCCCTACCTTTACTCAGAAATGTAGTCCTACTGTAAAAAATTAGGAGGATTTTAAAATATAATACTGCCTGTCGTGTATTTCTAAATTGTTCTCTTTGGGAGAAAAATATTGAGTTGAGCATATAACTTGATATATTTGTAGTTTTTTTTTTTTAACTTTTTTTTTTTTTTTATTTTTTTTTGGCCCCCAAGATGTAGTCTTACTCTGTTGCCCAGGCTGGAGTGCAAGTGGCACGATCCTGGCTCACTGCAAACTCTGCCTCCCAGGTTCAAGTGATTCTCCTGCCTCAGCCTCCCAAGTAGCTGGTACTACAGGTGCACGCCACCACACCTGGCTAATTTTAGTTATTTTAGTAGAGATGGGGTTTCACCATGTTGGCCAGGCTGGTCTCGGAACTCCTGACTGCAAGTGATCTGCCCTTCTTGGGCTCCCAAAGTGCTGGGATTACAGGTGTGAGCCACCACACCTGGCCAACATGATTATATTAATTTTGGGTTTTGTTTTGTTTTGTTTTTTAATTTTTCAAAGAATTTGTGGATCTTGGTATAAAGTCATTGGAACATATCTGTTTTAACAGAAAGAGATCCTAGGCAGATACCTCAAAAGGTTAAAAATTCTTAATCCTACAGAATTTTAAATGAATCTTATCAAATGTTTTGTAAACAAAATATGAATGGCCAAAACATTGCTCTCCATTTCACTGGCAGGTAATTTATATTGTCTTAGTTAAGAATTCTCCCCTAGTTTTTCTATTGTACTTTATCCTGTTGTTTTCAATGAGATAAGTATTGTCATAGAAAAAGCATTTTCCGGCATAATATTTGCTTGGGTAGCATTCAGGTTTTATTATTAATATTAACCAAGAGCCTTTTATATATTTAAAACCCATAGTTCAGAAAATGCTAGTATTGCTGCCCTTCTTCACATAAATTTTTAAAAGAATTATACTATAACTTTGCTTCATTTTATATTGGGTTAAAACAGCCTTCAAGAAAGTTAACTAGGAAAGAAGACCTTTTCGTTTTATTTTTACTATTTATATATAGAAGACAAATCAGCATTTGGGGTTAGTTTTACATGACCAGTTATCAAATGGTCATACTATGAAGTGTGCAGTTGTTCATTATTAGTAAATTATGTTTGATTTTTAAACTATTTAGTACTAATAGTTGAGATGAAAACTGAAGACAAATGCCAATGTGATGTTTGTGTATAGCTAGCCTTAAAAAACTTCCCATGTTTTTAGGTGATTTTTTTCCCCCCCCTTAGTTCTTTGGAGAAACAGTGAAGATGGGCCATTTTAATTCCAGATGTAAACAAAAAGTAATTTTTATTTCAACATTTAATGTAACTGTTATTGTGGATTCTTGTTTTGTGTATTTTCTTTCCCTTATTCAAGTAATAGAGAATAACTTTCCTTCAAATGATTTGATCCAAGATACGTCATTTCTGTATTGGCAAAATGCCACTATTAAAAGTGTAATTCTTGAATTTAGGTTGAATTGATGACTTTTTAAAACAAAACAGTAACACTGGACATTTCTACATTGTATTGCGTTTGCAAATGTGGGTGAACACGTACACATGCAGGAGAATGTAGTGCCATAAGAACACTGGCACTTTTTAAAACTTTCCAAGTTAGCTACTTATTTTGATTTTCAGGGTTGAGTACTCTAAGCTCTCTACTTACTGTGAGAAGTTTTCTACATTGTAAAATTAAAAGATTACATTTAAAATACTCCTTTAGGATGTTATTCAGCCATCAAAAAAAAGGAAAAAAAAACAACTAAAATGTCTTACCACTAAAGTATTATTAAAAGCCTCATTTGTGGAGATTCGCTGACTTTCTTGGTTAAGCTGTTTTGTATTTGTATTTACTTAATTTGTCCCCTCAACCAGGTGTTTTCTTTTCAGCCTGTTACTGCCCTGTGCCATTTTAAAAAATAGCCATCATGAGTAAGGGCTTCTTTAAAATAATCCCTGACAATATCTTTGGCATTAATAAGACATAAAGATAAGACAGTATATGTATGTTTTCATTCTTGTTCTGTACGAGTGCCTCATTTTGTAGTCATGAAAGTAACATAGTACCTTAAATAAAAATGTAATGACTAAGGTCTAGGAATAACTATTGTAGAAGCTAAATAGAACACTTAGTTGGGGGTGTCAGTTTTCTATTAAAGCAAACACCTTAGGTACCCAGACCAATTTTTATGTATATATATTCTGAAATGCTCCCTTTTTTATGTGGTCATTTGTTGCCTTCTAAGTTGAGAGAACAAAACTGAATAAAGTGAATGTTAGTTGTAGTCTAGTTTTTTTGTTTGTTTTCGTATTATTGCAAGATTGCAGAAATATCCATTATTAGCCAGTATAGATAATCCAGATGTTATAATAGGAAAAATAACTCCAGTTAAATGTGACTGTGGCCCCTCCCTTTTATGTATAAATTGAAACGCATAGTTGCAGAGGATACATCCCTCCCCTTCTGTCTCCCTAACTTGAATTGTAGACCATCCTCACTGGGAAGAGTAAGGCCCCACATTTTGTGCAATAGCAAGCTACTGCCCACTTCTGCATGTCTGCTACAAGATAGGTTGTCTGTTAGCTGAATACTTAGAGTAAAACCAGTCAAATCCATTGTACATACTTGACCATATGTCCCAGATAAAAAGGAAAGACTTGCGTGATGTTTTTTTCCTTCTGAGTGCCCTGAGGAGATCCTTTTGCTTCAGACTGTTTCTAATTTTTCTTTGTCTGTAGGTTCAGAATTTTTCCTATGATTGTTTTCCCCCAAACAAGTGCATTTTTACTTTAAATGCAGAGGTGATAGAGGAAATGCTGTTTGAACCATAGACATCTTTAATCTGTGAAGTTGAAATTTTTCAGTAAAGGAAGTTGCATGGTGAAGTTCAGAAACTGACCATTAATTTCCCCCTTCCACTCCACAGTTCTTAGCTACTCTTGTTGCAAACATACAGTGATAAGGAGAACTGATGTATCAAGGGGCTGAGAAGGTAACGTTCCCCTCCTCCTGAATGTTTGTATTTTGATGTCTTGTTTTGTTTCTAGCACTGTACTTAGTAGTATAGTTGAATGAGGTATGACGTCTCCCTTCAAGGAACTCAGAATGGAACAGAAACATGAGCAAAAGATTGTATTACAGAGGTGTGAATAAAATGCCATGGGGAACATGGAGAAAGGTTCACCCGGGAGAGATGGCCTAGCCACTTCCTTAGTGACTGTTTGGTGTGTGTAGGTCCCCCTGCCATTACTCTTTCAGCCTTCTGCAATCTAGTTCTACAGAGTCACACACTTCTCCAAAACCAACCATACGTAAACACTACGTAGAGGCCCCTTTTTGCCTCATTTTACATTGTTTAGTTATCATTTTGAAACTTTTCTTTACATATGTAACAGTGCCAGAGTTTTTCTGCTTCTCTGTGGTTGTTCAGTAACTCCTCTTTAGGACATACCTAAAGATGAGAAGCTTCATACCCAGTACTCCCATTCATTCACTCATATGTTTTTGGGATCGGTCCCTTCTGCTTCCTGTGCATTGGTTTGATGGAACAGAATAGAGTCCAGAAATAACCCAACATGTATGTGGACAACTGATTTTTAACAAAGGTGCAAAGGTCTTAAAAAAATGGTGCTGGAATAATTGGGCATCAGATGCAAAATTAAAAATTGATCCATATCTTAACACTGGCAAAGATTAAAGTCAAAATGGATTATAGTTCCCCAAAACTGTATAATTTCTAGAAGACGACAAGGAAAACGTGTTCAGCCTTGGGTTAGAAAAAGATTTCTTAGATCCAACATCAAAAGCACAATCCATGAAGGAAAAATCAATAAATTGTACTTTATCAAAATTGAAAACTTCTCTTTCAAAGGTACCATTAAGAGAACAAGAAGACAAGCTGTAGAGTGGCAGAAAATATTTGCAAAACATTTCTAATAAATGACTTGCATCTAGATTACATAAAGAAGTCTCAAAACTGAACAAGTAAACCCACTGTTTACTTAATTGCTGTTTCTCCTGAGCTTGCTGCCTCTGCCCCTGCTCTTTCTTCCTTTTTCCATTTGTTTTCAACATTGAATCCCGAATGTCCTTGAGATCCAAGTCAGATCACACCAACCCTCAGAACTCTCCAACAGATTACCATGGCACTCAAAATTCCACAATAGCCTTCAACGCTGGGCAAAACATGGAGCATCCCTTTCCTTCCTTCTCTGACCACATCACCTCTGTGTTCACCCCGCTCCTGCCGTCCTGCCTGCCTCCAAAACAGGTCAGGCCTTAGGGCTTTTGCACTTACTATTTGCCCTACCCAAATGTTCTTCATTCAGGCTCTTCAGCCTCCTCGTTTCTTTCCTGAAGTGTCATTCTCACTGAGGCTTATCTAAAGCTGCAGCTACTGGGGCATTCCTGTCTCATCTCCCTGCTGTATTTTGTACTCCCTGCTCTCTTTTGTACTTTTAAACATACTATATCGTTTACCTTTCTTGTTTATATTTGTGTGTTTTTTCCCACTTGAATGTAAGCTCCAAAGATTTTATTTTTTTAAACTGAATTATTACTGTATTCCCAGAATAATTCCCTGGCAAATATTTGGTACTCAATAGTAATGCTAAGTTAGTAAATAAATGATGAATTTAGAATCAAAATAATGTATCTGTGGCCAAAATAAGACCTGAAATCCCTGTCTCATTTCCCAGACGTAACTGCTGTTAATAGTTTTAGTTATATGCTTCCAGACATACCTTCACAGAATCATTTATCTCAATAAACGTGTTATACTATGCAGACTGTTCGACAAGATGCTTTTTTTCACTTTACACGGGCATCTTTTCATACCATTGTGTAGCTAGGCCATGATTTGCTTTCCAAAAGACAGTTACCCAATTTATATGGCAAAGATTTTTGTCTATATTTTTGTAGTATTTCTGTAGGGTAAGTTCCCAGAAGAAATATTGCACAATCATCGAAAAATTTTAGTGTTAAATTATTGGCCCCTAAAGGTACTAATTAACATCCCTCTCAATAGCATATAAGATTCTTTGTTTTCTTTTTTTGGGGGGGGGATTGGGGACAGAGTCTCACTCTGTCGCCCAGGCTGGAGTGCAGTGGTGCCATCTTTGCTCACGACAACCTCTGCCTCCCAGGCCCAAGCTATTCTGCCTCAGCCTCCCAAGTAGCTGGGATTACAGGCATGTGCCACCACGCCCAGCTAATTTTTGTAGAGATGGGGGTTTCACCATGTTAGCCAGGCTAGTGTCGAACTCCTGACCTTGTGCTGGGGTTACAGGCATGAGCCACCGCGCCTGGGCCGATTCCATGTTTTCATACTGTCACCAACTTTAAGTACAAGTATTTTCAGTTTTTGCCAATGCTGTTAATTTAGAAATGTGTATGTGTATATTGTCTGGTGGGTGTTTGGACGGAAACGATCAAAATCGGGCAACTTTCCCAGTTTCCTTGAAGGGAGGGCTTGCCATTGGCGCCTCCTGGAAGTAGCTCGCTGTAGTTCTCCATCTTCCTGTTTTGAGGAGCGCAGGAGGAGATGGATCTGGGGTCTCATCCATACGGTGGCTTGTTAACGGCAACTGCAGCAGCCAGCCAGATCACCCCCTAAAGCAAAGTTAACACCTTGCATGGTGCCTTGGTCAGCACCCACCAAATTCGAGGATTCTCCTATCCTTCGACTCAAGGCTCTTTTGACAGATGTGATTTATTTCCTCCTAGAGCCAGTCACATTGGGTCAACCACCCTGTCTTAAGAAAACAAATATAATATTGTTTTAGCTGGAAACTGCCCGCTGTCTAAGTGGCTTTTTAAATGAAGAACTCAGGTTCACTAAGGCACGGCTTAGGCAAGGGCATGTGCGAAGTTCGAGGCCTGAGACGTTTGGAGAAGCGGCCCCAGGCGCAGGCGCGTCCCGCAGTGGGGCCCGTGCCGCCCAGGCGATCAGCCCCTTCAGTTAACTCGCTTCCCTCCTAGCAGGCCCGACTCCCCTCGCCTCAGCCTCACGCAGCCAGAGCAAGGGGAAGAGGGAGTCCTTCGAGAGTTCGCCGCTCACTTTTGGCGGTGGGAAACCGATCCGAAGACCCTTTTGTAGGTGAAACGCTCAGCTCGCGCGGCTCTGAAACACCGGGGAGCAGCGGCGGCTGCGAGCCGGACTGCGCCAGCACCTCCTCGTCCCGCCCCGGGGCAGCCCCGGCCCGCTCAGGGCCGCCTGCGCGTGCGCGGTGCCAGGGGCGGGGCCTGCTCGCGTCTCGGTTGCCTGGATACCGAGAGCGTCCGTAGTGGCCGCTGGCGCTCGCGAACTGCAGGGTCTGGGGTGTTATTGGAGGGGCAGTTGGTCCTCATTTCTCCCGAAGCCCGCGGAGGAGCGGGTAAGAGCCCCGCGAAGCCGGCCCCAACCTTGGGAAAGGGATGGGAGGCGACCCTGGCCGCTAGCCCCGCGCTGCTAGCGGCTCCACCGCGCCCTAGCCCACAGCCGCCCTTCTTCCTCGCAGCGCGCCGCGATTCCCCAGCCTGGTCCTTTCTGCGGAGAGCGATGCCGCTTCCCGACACCATGTTCTGCGCTCAGCAGATCCACATTCCCCCGGAGCTGCCGGACATCCTGAAGCAGTTCACCAAAGCTGCCATCCGCACCCAGCCGGCCGACGTGCTGCAGTGGTCCGCGGGGTAAGCACCCTCGGCCCGGGGAGCGGTCCGGTCTACGTGCCCAAGCCAGACGAGCCCAGAGGGCCCTCCTCCCGGACCAGGGGCCCGACGCGGCGCTCATCGTCCGTAAGAGTATCAGGCAAAACTTTCCCCTTAGCGTTGGTGACATCTATACTTGAGTGTCTATCTAGGAACCATTTCGATTTATCGACCATGAGACCCGAAATTATTGCAAAATGCTCACTTACCTACAAAGTAATGGCAACTCAGTTGTTTAAAAGTGTTTATGATGAAGATAGACTAAAATGTAAAGCAATTGCATTAGGCAGAAATGTGTCTACATTATGTTAAAAAAATTTACATGGTTGCGGTCATTTTACTTGTGAAATGATTTTACAAAGAGGAATATTTTAGCTAAGTTCCTCCTCTGCAGAGAATCCTCTCAAAGCTTTGTATACCCAGAGCTGGTTAAATTGATTAGAACCGGGACGACCGTGGACATACTGAGGTCATCATCCCTAGAGTGCTCCTGGCAAACTGTCCAGCAAATGAACCTTCACAGTTTTGTGTGTTTTTTTTTTGCCACAAACATTACAACACTTTCCAGGAACAGACATTCATAATCTCAAAGTTACAAGTCAACAGATCTTAGAGGCATTAAAAGAAATCCTCTTGGTTTTACAGGAGAACTCTTTGCCCCTTTTCAATAAACAGATGTAAAACAAAAACTCACTTTTATGATGACAAGAGTCAGCATAGGTGTAAATTTAATTTAAATATTTTAGTCATCAACATATCAAATTTTGACTGGGCTTGGTGGCTCACGCCTGTAATCCCAGCACTTTGGGAGGCCAAGCTGGGAGGATCACTTGAGCCCTAGAGTTTGAGACCAGCCTGGGCAATATAGCAAGACCCCATCTGTATTTTTTTATAAGAAAAATAATTTAAAAAGAAAAAAAAGCCAAATTTTGCTGGCTTTCTCCAAATTCTATAATCAAAGTGAATTACTTTCCTTTGGCTGCTGTAACAAATCACCACAAAACTTGACAGCTTAAAACACAGACATACATTCTTGCAGTTCTGGAGGCCAGAAGTCCAAAATCAGTTCCACTAGGCTAAAATCAAGGTGTTGGCAGGGCTTTGCTCTTTCCAGTGGCTCTCAGGAAAACCCAACTCGTTTCCTTTCCTTTTCCGGCTTCTAGAGCTGCATTCCTTAGACTCCTTGGCTCATGTCCCCTTTCTCCATTTTCAAGGCCAGCATTTTCAAATCTCCCTCTGCCTCTCTCTTCCAAGGACCCTGGTGATTGCATTCAGTAGCCATCCAGATAGTCCAGGGCGATTTTTCCCACCTGAGATCCTTATTCAGTCTACAAAATCCCTGTTACCATGTAAAGTAACATTCCCAGGTTCCTGCGACTTGGACCTGGATATCTTTGGGGCTGTTATTTTACCCACCAACTGAGCTACTTGTCCATCCAGTGCTTGCCCTCTGAGAAACACTTTTATCAATGGTTTCTGAAAGACTCTTTCAAAGTTCTTGCTAAAGAAATATAGCCTCTGGTTTTAACCATTATTCAAGCTTAAGTAAAAGGATTTATAAGAGTTTGTGCCCTACAAAAAGTTGTGAAGTGGCAGGGAGGAGGGGATTGTGAAGTGGCAGGGAGGAGGGGAAGAATAACACACGTTGAAGGAGCTTTTGCGAGTGCCAGCCACTGTGCCAAGCCCTTCTCACTCAGTGCTCCCTGGCCCTCTAACAGGGACTCTCATTATCCCCTCTGCCGACAGAGAAGCTAAGGCATGCAGAGAAGGTTAAGTCAGAGAACTAAGTGGAGGAACCAGGACATAAGCCCGGGATGTTGGTCTTCAGAGCTGTCCTTCCTAATCACCATTGTTTTGGGGGATTATTTAAGAAATTGCATCGCATAGCTGCTTTTTGTGGATTGATGAGCTTTCAGAGATGTCTGTTATTTATTAGATATTTTTCAGCTTTGTCAAGAGGAGATCCACTTCCTGTAAAGGACAGAATGGAAATGCCCACGGCAACCCAGAAAACAGACACAGGCCTGACTCAAGGACTCCTGAAAATTTTGCACAAGCAGGTATGGGGGGTTCTGTGGCCTCAGGCAACTGGCCTGTGCTTTCCTTACCATTCACTGTGCATTGATGACAGAGCGAGGCTCACCCTGGCAGTGTATTGCAAACCTCCCAGGGTCCCTGAAGTCCTCTTTGCCTGCCACGCATCGTCAAGGTTGATTCAAGGAAGAAATATGTTGTGTTTGGGAGGTCTTTTTCTAGCTTCAACAGCCCCAAGTAACTATCCAGGGGTAGATTTTAGAAAAGTGAAATATAATTTCTTTTAAATACAAAATTTACATGACACTAGATTCTTCTGGGCGAAAAATACAAAATTCCAGAACCTGGGGGGTTTCCAGTCTGTTCTCCAGGTGTGCATCTGTGAAAGCTGTGTGCGGGCCTGAGTAAGCCTCTGCCTTCTCTGTCTGAAGGCGGGGCTGGACTTTGGCGCCCAAGGTGGGCAGCAGCCTCTGGTGTCCAGTTCTGTGGAGAGCCTGGGCCCCCTTCCTGCCTTGCACTTCTTCGCCCCACACGCCATCCTGTTTTTAGAGACATGAGTTACTAGAAAGTGGGTAATGGAGCAAGGCTAGGCATTCCTCATGACTCGGTTCTTTTGCTAAAAGAGACACCAGTGGCATAACCTTGATTTTCAAGCTGACTTATCCCGTTCTACATTGTGAAGTGCTGTACTTCTGCGTAGGATACAGTGAATTCTGAAACTAGGACTTTTCCGTGGCTACCTTAAGGGAAATGAAGAACTCTTGAATGGTGTAGCTTGGGAAAAGACACGCTGAAATTGCCCAAAGCCTTTTCATCCAAGATACTGCCAGCAGATTGCAGAAGTTATCAGTTTTGATAGATTGTTTAAAATAGTAGAAGGAAGGCCGGGCATGGTGGCTCATGCCTTTAATCCCAGTACTTTGGGAGGCTGAGGCAGGCAGATCACTTGAGGTTAGGAGTTCAAGACCAGCCTGGCCAACAAGGTGAAACTTTGTCTCCAATAAAAATACAAAACTTAGCAGGGTGTGGTACTGTGCACCTGTAATCCCAGCTACTTGGGAGGCTGAGGCGGGAGAATTATTTAACCCTAGGAGGTGAAGGTTGCAGTGAGCCGAGATCATGCCACTGCACTCTAGCCTGGGCAACAGAATGAGACTGTCTCAAAAATAAGTAAATAAATAAATAAATAAATAAATAGTAGAAGGAATACATTTATTTTCAGTTTTAAGATTTCTCCTATCTAAATGTGTTTAGGGGCTGGATTTTTAAAATGTTTTTTACTGAGGTCTATTTTTTATTGTGAAGCATTTCAGACAGAGAGTGGAATATCATATACTCAACATCAGTATGCCTGTTTCATTAAGTCATAACATGATGCTGTATTCGCTTCACCGTCCTTTTTTCATTTAAGAAATAAAAGGTTGCCGCTTACTGGCTTCCCTGCCTCCCCTCCCCAGGGCTGACAGAACCCACGGTCATGCATTTGGAGTTCATCTGTCCCCTGCGTGGGGCGGGTTACTCGGTGTATGCTGAATTTTCACAGCATTCTAGTGTTTGCCAGGTTTTAAAACGTACGTAAATTGTCATACTGTGTTTTCTAAACAGTGTCACCACAAGCAGTATGTGGAATTAACAGATCTGGAGCAAAAGTGGAAGAACTTGTGCCTGCCGAAGGAAAAATTCAAAGTGCTCTTACAACTGGATCCTTGTGAAAACAGAATCAAGTGGATAAACTTTTTAGCACTTGGGTGCAGCATGCTTGGTGGGGTATGTACCTATAAACACATGTCAGTCGTTCTGTGTTAGCATGGTCCCAGCTTAAAAATCCTTTCGGTTTCAGTAACTAAAGGAAACACTTCAGTAACTTTGTCTTAGAAAAGCATTTCCTCTGCTCCAGGCCTATTATATTAATATTTTTGGGCTTATAGTTATTTTAGTTTACAGAAATTACTTATGAATGCCTCAATTTAAAGGTTAACAGTAGAAGAAAGATATGGATACTATTAAACTATATTTAGGTTTTAGAAGAAAATGCATCAATGACTTTTTAAAACTACAAATCATTTTGTAAACTGATAACTGTTTTCCTCATCTGTGGAAAGAGGCATATAATTATTTTCTACTTTAGTAGAAATCTATTATTATTATTTTGAGACGGAGTTTTGCTTTTGTTGCCCAGGCTGGAGTGCAATGGCGCAATCTCAGCTCACCACAACCTCCGCCTCCCAGGTTCAAGCAATTCCCCTCCCTCAGCCTCCCGAATAGCTGGGAGTACAGACGCATGCCACCATGCCTGGCTAATTTTGTATTTTCAGTAGAAATGGGGTTTCTCCATGTTGGTCAGGCTGGTCTCGAACTCCTGACCTCAGGTGATCTGCCCATCTCGGCCTCCCAAAGTGTTAGGATTACAGGTGTGAGCCACCACGGCAGCCTTAGAAGTCTATCATTAATAACTAATAGATACAGTGCAACTTTGCTGATGTTCGAGTATAAGCCAAGCGAGTTAGGAGTAAGACATATCCTCCAGGTGACGAGGCGAGCCTGGGAGGTTGGGGCGAGAAGGGAGCTGGGATGATGTTGGCAGGACTTCCTTTGCAAACCCAGAGTCAGTCTTCTCAGCTAAAGTTTTGCTGTGAGACATGGTGGTTGGGTGAAGAAAGAGTAACCGGGCATCAGCCATGTGAAGCTTACGAAGAAAGGAGGCAGAGCAAGGAGAACCAGCTCCTTTGACTACATAGATTAACAATTTGATTTTACCCCCTCCCTTCAGTCTGTGGCCCAGTGTGTGTAACTGGACGCCCATGTGCTTGCTTCACAGCCCTCACTCAGCTTTGGTCCATGCCCAGAGCTCTTTCATTCCATTTTCATTAAAACCAATTCCTTGAAATGGGTGGTGGTAAACACCTGCAAACCTACCCAACGTGGTCGCTAACGCACCCACTTCCAACCACCCGTGTCCTCCTCCCGCGTCCTGTCCCCCTGCCTGGTGGCCTGAAGCAACGACGTTTCTGAAGCTCCTGCTTCTCACTCCCTGGCCTCTGAAACGCATACTTCTGTGTGTCCCCCAAGAGGTACATTGCGGAATTGTAGTTGGTTTTGACTTGATGAAAAGACAATTGTGTTGTTAGTAATTTTCTGAAATTTTCATTCTAAATTATATGACTAGATGTATTCATCTGTATATCACAGACCGCGTTGTTCTTTCCCTTCCTCTGCCATGTCACATCTGAGTGCGGCACAGCTCACCAGCTCGGCGGATGGCCCCAGTGGGAAGCTCCGTGCGCTCATGGAGTCGGGTGTGGTGCGGCTGTAGAATGAGCAAGAGTTTTGTTGTGTAACTGCTCAAAGGCAATGGAGGTGCTTCCTGTCAGCCCTGGGCTAGTTGTGCCAAGGCCTGGATGTTGGCAGGCCCTGTACCCTCCAGTAGCAAGGACAGGTGCAGATGGCACCAGGGGAGTGTCAAGATAGACAAAGGCAAATACATTTAATTATTGGAGACATTTTTATGTCACTTTGTTAATCTGGAACTCTGTGAAATCTGTCTATCTATCTATCTATCTATCTGTCTTATCTATCTATCTATCTGATCTATCTATCTATATCTGTATCTAGCTATATATTTTTTGAGATGGAGTCTCACTGTGTCACCCAGACTGGAGTGCAATGGTGTGATCTTGGCTCACTGCAACCTCCCAGGTTCAAGCGATGCTCCTGACTCAGCCTCCTGAGTAGCTGGGATTACAGGCATGCACCACCACGTTCAGCTAATTCTTGTATTTTTAGTAGAGACGGAGTTTCACCGTGTTGGCCTGGCTGGTTTTGAACTCTTGACCTCAGGTGATATGCCAGCCTTGAGTTCTGGGATTACAGATTACAGGTGTGAGCCACCGTGCCCCGCCTAAATAAATAAATAAATACACACACACACACACACACACACACACATATATATATATTTGTTTTGATTCAGAGTCTTGCTCTGTCGCCTAGGCTGTAGTGCAGTGGTGTGATCTGGGCTCACTACACCCTCCACCTCCCGGGTTCAAGTGATTCTCATGCCTCAGTCTCCCAAGTAGCTGGGATTACAGGTGTGCACCACCATGCCTGGCTAATTTTTTTGTATTTTTAGTAGAGACGGAGTTTCGCCATGTTGGCCTGGCTGGTCTTGAACTCCTGACCTCAGGTGATCTGCCCACCTCAGCCTCCCAAAGTGCTGGGATTACAGGTGTGAGCCACCTCTCCCAGCCCTGAAATCGATATGTTAACAATATAAAATTGTATGCAATATTTGAATTAATGTTGGTGGTTTCTGCCTCTAAGCTTAGTTGTAAAATTTTGATTTTAACAATGAGAAACTAAAATAATTCATGTTTTTGGATCCATCTTTATAGTTTTCACCTTCCTAATTGTGAAAATTGAGCAATAGATTTAAAACACAATTGAATGTGATTTGGAAAATAAGGCCGAATCTCCAATCTAGTGTGACACTAGATGGAGACATTGTGTTAAGGATAGAGCTTGGCCATCTAAACTGATTCCTGGGGAAGAGACATCACAAACAGCACACATTCTTTTGTGTTCTTCCTATCATATGTTACTTGACCCACAGAGAATAAATTGACACCAGGAAGCATGCTGTGTGTCACTGTGGGTTCCTGCCTATCTCCTAACTTGAGCCACCTTTGCCAGTAGGACTCCAGATTTGCCCTTGACTCCTTCCATTGGTGCTGGAGGCCCCTCCTGGGTGTAGAAAGCCACAGTCACCCTCTGCTCTGGTCCAGTGCGGCTGTAGACTCAGGGTCAGGTTCAGGTGTGAGAGCTGACCTCTCCTCCCTCAGAGGAGTGTGTGCTCGTCTGGGGTCCTTGTCTGCTGCCAGGGATGCCTGCTCTGCCCTGGCTTCCGCGGCCCACAGAGTGCTGAGCTCAAACACCTGTTTCGGGATGTGGCGGGTAGACAGGAGGGGCTCGGACCCACCAGGCCTTGGTGTGGACACTTGTGTTGTTGACCTTGTTGGCCCTGGGTGGCTTGGAGGTGTGCTAAGAACACAAAGCTGTGAATTCAAGGAGGGGTTTCATCATGTTGCTTGGCATCATAAGCGTTCATTTTTATGCTTTAAAAAATACCTTCAAAAAGGAGGAAATAAAGAAGTGAAGTGCGATGAGAAGAATTTGTAGTGGATTACCGCCTGCGGATGTTTATTTCACATAGGGTGCTGTGTAAGTGGTGGCTAGCTGCTGCCTGCGTGAGTGGGATAGATGTCATTCCTGCTCCCTGCGTCTATGGCGGGGCATGGCTTGTGACAGGTGTACTCTCTGTGCTGTTACATTTATTCCTCTTAGAAATCACTCTAGTCAAATTCGTCGAGTTGAAGATCTCCAAAAAGACTGGAAACCTCTGTTTTAATTTCTGAGTCATACGTATCATTCATTCCACAAATGTTTACTGTGCATTATTTTGTACCAGACCCCGTTTGAAGGTTCTGGAGTGAACAAAATGGTCAAACATCACCAGTTTTTTGGAGCTGATGTCCTGTTACATCCTTGAATCCCTGAACACTGCTCTAGTTATTACATCAAAAGCCATCAATTCAGGTTAAGGGGCACTGTGAGCTGCCCCAGGCAGGTGATCAAGGACATTAAATTGCCATCTGGATGTTAAGAGATTCCTGTCCTCCTTCTCAATGTTTTGATGTGCTTGCATGGTGAAATGACCATATTTATATGTTGTGGCTTTAATTTAATTTTTTTTTTTTTCTGTAAGAGACAGGGTCTCGTTCTGCCACCCAGGCTGGAGTGCAGTGGCATGATCATAGCTCACTGCAGCCTCAACCTCCTGTACTCAAGCGATCTTCCCACCTCAGCCTCCCAAGTCACTGGGATTACAGGCCTGCGGCACCACACCCAGCTAATTATTTATTTTTTGTAGAGACAAGTATCTTGCCATGTTGCCCCGGTTGGTGTCAGTTCCTGAGCTCAAGCAATCCTCTCGTCTTGACCTCCCAAAGTTCTGGGATTTATAGATGCAAGCCACAGAGCCTGGCTGACTTTTATTTTTCCGTTTCTACAATGCCATTAATGATCCTGAGCATTAAAGCTGTGGATCAAAATGTTTTCTTTTGTCTTTTAAGCATGAAGATCTTTTTTTAAGATAAGAAAATTGTGAACCAAGTCTTTCATCCCCATACTCACACTGATAGAGTCAGTCCGTTATGATCAAAACAAATAACATAGACTTCAGTGAGGCTTTTTTTTTTTTGGAGACAGAGTCTCGCTCTATCGCCCAGGTTGGAGTGCAGTGGTGCGATTTCGGCTCACTGCAGCCTCCGCCTCCGGGTTCACGCCATTCTCCTGCCTCAGCCTCCCGAGTAGCTGGGACTACAGGTGCCCACCACCACGCCCAGCTAATTTTTTGTATTTTTGTAGCGATGGGGTTTCACTGTGTTAGCCAGGATAGTCTCGATCTCCTGACCTTGTGATCCACCTGCCTCGGCCTCCCAAAGTGCTGGGATTACAGGTGTGAGACACCGCGCCTGGATAGTCAGGCTTTTAAACACATTTGAACTTTCTTAATCACAGAAGCATCTCTCTTCGTTTACAACCACAGATGCACACATGTCTAGCGCAGCTTTCCATCTGGACACGGTGCATGCAGTGGCCAGGATTTCTAGGGTTTGACCATGTGCGGGAGTGCACAGAGCCCTGCATGTGTATTCTCTGGAATCCTCCTGACAGCCCTTTGAGGAAGGCACCGTCAGGTTTGCAGGCTG